CTCCGTAATTCATTCATGGTAACTCAGATAAGAGAAAGACATTTAGCCATGCAAATTATTAAAAAGCTCAAGTAATGTTGAACAATAAATCTAAATAAAATTGAAATCGCTATGTCTTAGTGATTCTGAAAGTGCTGTGATGTGTGGATGACTGAATCCGGAGAAACAGGCGTTTATTTTTTCATTATCAGTGTTGAGAAACGTATCGCATGTGTTACGTGTCGTTATGTATTATGTTAACTAAAGTACCGAATTATGTTACATATTTATTTTGAATGAAAACTACCGAGTTAGTTGGCGAATTTATGGATTAAAAATGACCGTTGTATGATATCATGTAGCAGTGCTGCGCGAGCTCTCTCACAAACACAGACTCGCGCACACAGAGAGAGAAGATATTTATACAATAAAAATTGACAGGCAAAGTTCTTGCTTGTGTTTTTTTTTTGTCAAAATGTCAAAGCTTTTTCCATTCGTGTTTTTAAAATTCGTTAAATGACGGACGCTTTACTGTTAACAGCCCTCATGTCGGATTCTCTTATTCGAACACTTATTATTGGTCATGTGACAGGACTCCTGTCTATTCAATGTTAACTGTTTTCTATAAATATGTTTGGATTGGCTAAAGTTTGTTCAGCTAATGCGTGTCCTGTTTGTAGCCTAATGTTCAAATGCAAAAACAGCACGTCACAAATATAAGCCCTTTTCCCTGTGGGATTTAATATCATATTTGTATATTGGAATCAGTGGCGTAACGAGCCAACACCGGGCCCTTATGCAGGATTATCAAGGCGGGCCCCTACTACAACACGTGATGACGCAATGTCCACGAGTAGGCTTTTGCAAGCAATACGCAAGGAACTGTGTACACCTGGCCACTTCATGCTTTTTCTGTGATCGTATAGCTATCCGATCGTGAAAAGACCAGGTGTAAATTCCCTTCGAAACGCATTCGAGACGGATTTGAATCCGGTCGCTCGAACCACTTCAGGAGGAGGTCTGGGCCGCATTCCAGACGACACTGGACAAGTGTAAATGCATCTGGTTGTTGAAACCACATATGTCAATTTTACTCCTCTAAAAATGCTAAAAAAAATAAACGTGTGAGAGCGTGTTATAGGCTATATGTCATAGTCAGATATGACGACGCTTCTGCAACAACACGCATCACCGCAGATGAGCATCTCTTCATCAAGCCAACGCACAAACTATCGCAAATCAAAGTGAAAGTAAGTCGCAGACGCTCGCTTAACACACAATCATCTTCATTAAAAGTAAAGAAACGAAATGATCTTACCGGTACTCAGAGCCGGACTGGGACCAAAATTCGGCCCTGGCATTTGTGGTTTTCACCGGCCCAACTAATTGATGACGTTAAAAAACGTCCCCTGAATCTGAACATTTTTCCCACTGAGACACACCATACAAGGCAGCAATTTAGGCGCGTTTCCATTACAGATTTGCGCAAAACTTTTGCGATTTTTTCTAAATGTCGATAAAAAACTATTGCGAAATGACGGCGTTTCCATTAACTGATGTTATGCGGTACAACGTCCTTTTTTTCTCTCGCGATAAGTCATTTAAACATCATGGCAACGGGTCTATCAGCCACCACCACACTAGACATTATTATTATTATTAATGGAATGAGACGTGGTGTGTTATCCAAGCATTAATGGCAGGGAAAGACGCATACTGCTAAGGAGTTTCTGGGTGTTTCTCTCTCATTTCTGCCCCGAGGTCTTGATTGTGGCATTTCTTTGAGGTTTAGAATCCAGTATTCCTGAAGCCTAATTATTGTTTATTTTATGAATTTAATAAAGAACTCTGTCCAAACGGTCAGTGTACATTTGTGTCCATTCGTTTTTCCTTTTTTAACCCGTATTGCAAAACGAAAAATGAACGGTGATTTTTTTATTTAAAATGCAAAGTTAACCAGCAATTTTTTTTTTAATTTGAACTGTACACAAATGCTGTGCAAAAATAATAATATATCGACTAAATTTCAGATGTTTCTTTGACTTTTTGCCCCTTTATTAAACATTTAAAATATTCACAACTTAATACGAACAAAATGTAGATTTTAATGGTTTTCTAAGGGCAAATTAGAACCTGGAAATTATATTTTTCCCGCAGTGCTGAATGAGAAGAGCCATATTTATGTCTCTGGAACCACAAGGTGATTTAGGTGAGTTATAGGCTAATGATAATAAATCTGTCTGAAAAAATAACGAGGCATTTTAATTGTTTATTAATAAACTATTGTTTTCTAAATCAGTGTCGGCTAAAAACATATCTCCATCTCCGCTGAGGCGCGCCGCGCGAATGCACCTTTAGAGAGAAATACACCTTTCATAAGGATTACATCATCAGAATGTATTAGCTTTCGATTCGAATTTGTTCGTTTTAAAGTGGACACTTCAAGCTTTAGCCTAGGCTATACTTTGTTTCAGTTCTCGCGCTCCAGTTCACGGAGATCATGAAAGCGCGCATGATTGTTTTATTTTATTTTACAAAAGCACAACGTTTTCTTGTTATTGTGAGTTTACACAAATAAAATCATAGTGGCGAATAATGTATTATTATTTTCTGTATGACCAGAAATTATAGAGTAGGCCTATTTTAAGTTGTTTCTACTGTTGATAGGAAAAAGCAAGTGTTCGCGGCCGCGCCTCCGTGCCATGCGCGCTCAGCAAACACTTGGATATGCGTCAAAATCTTGTGTTTATTTGTGATAATCTTAGCCCTGTATTATTATTGTCTAACCATTATGAATGACATTTGACGAATTGCTTTGTTCCTTTTTTTGGATAAAAGCGTCTTCTAAATATGTAGCCTAATAACTGTTATAATAATGATGATATTTATTAGCCTATTATTTGCGTATATCACGGACCCCAAACACACCGTGTCTTCAGGTGACTGTAAATGCGCAAAAACTGTTTCCATTGCAGTTTTGCGAAATATTCCTTTTTCGAATTGCCTGAAAAACCTCCTCATGCGAGCGTAAAAACTTTTTTGCGATAAAGGTGCAGCAACGTGGTCAGCTCGGCCCAAAACAATAGAAAATCACACCGGCCCTTCTGGCATGTGCCAGAATTGCCAGATGGCCAATCCGGGCCTGCCGGTACTGTTGCCGCTCTCTCTAATTGCGGTCTACGATTAGACATTTTAGCTGATGATCAATAAAATGCAGCTTATCTGTTGCTTTCGGTGACGTGAACTCTATTAAATCTGCATATAGCGCGGAAATTGAAGATCGGATTTATATCTGTTTTGCAAAAACACATTTATGTGACCAGCTGGAAATGGAATCGTTTTGATAAATCAGTAGCTATCCGATCTGAGCAAACGCATGAAGTGGCGCGCGCGTGTAACGTTAAACAGCCGACCCGGGGATTCCCCAGTCCCAGCTCAAAACAAATTACACCAAAATCCATGATTGTTCGTTTCACACATGTATTTAATGATCTGTAAAATATGTTGTTGTCATTATTTATTTAAAACAAAATCGTGATAAAGTAAAATGCGATCAAACTAAAAGTAGTAATATGCGATAGGGGGCCCCGGCTGTCAATCAATATCTTCCAGTCAAGCGGGCCCCTGATTGGTCCGGGCCCGTAAGCAACCGCGTTCCCTGCTTACCGATAGTTACGCCACTGATTGGAATAACAAATTAAGTAGCCAATTTAAAATAAATAACATGTAGGCTACACACCGTTTTTTTTTTTGTTTTTTTGTTTTTACTGTTATCTAGGGGTTTCTTAATTAGACTAATTGACCAGCACAGATTATAAGGATTACAATATCAATCATGAATAAAGAAATTGTGTTGAGCAGGATTGAAACTTTGGACTTTCACTGTTGCATTGCAGTGCAAGTTAAATTTTGTATTTGTGTCAAATTAAAAAACCTTTAGAGGTCAAAACTAGAATTATGAAGATAGCCGAGTGTGTGTGTCTTGCATTCTCAAAATAATGACAAAAATATATGACCCCCCCCCCCCCCCCCCCCCCCCCCCAAAAAACACTACACTACACACACTACACTACACAACACGCTACACAACACACACTACACAACACACACTACACAACACTACACACACTACACTACACAACACGCTACACAACACACACTACACAACACACACTACACTACACAACACACTACACAACACACACACATCTCTTCATCAACCTGCTCCTGGCCTTCAACCTCCACCTGAGCGGTACACTACACTACACAACACTACACAACACGCTACACTACACAACACTACACAACACGCTACACTACACAACACGCTACACAACACACTACACAACACGCTACACAACACACACTACACTACACAACACGCTACACAACACACACTACACAACACACACTACACTACACAACACACTACACAACACACACACATCTCTTCATCAACCTGCTCCTGGCCTTCAACCTCCACCTGAGCGGTACACAACACTACACAACACGCTACACTACACAACACTACACAACACGCTACACTACACAACACGCTACACAACACACTACACAACACGCTACACAACACACGCTACACTACACAACACGCTACACTACACAACACTACACAACACGCTACACAACACTACACAACACGCTACACAACACACTACACAACACGCTACACAACACAACACACACTACACTACACAACACAAAAAAACGCAAAACAACACAAACAACTCAAACAACACCTAGAACTGTAACAATATCTATAACGATAACTATACCTAGAACTATGATAACTATATCAATAACTATAGTTATAACCATAGCTGTTTGCGATAACTATAAAGATAACTACTTTACCATCCACACAACTTACAATGTTGTTCTGTTTATTATAGTTCTTGTTATCGTTATCATAGTTATCGTTATTGGTGTAGTTATCGTTATCGGCATAGCTATTGTTACAGTTATCGTTATTGTTATGTATTTGTGTTTGCTGCCCCCTGCAGTGCCGGAGACTAACATGGTGATGCAGGCGCTGATCAAGAGACGCAACGTGAAGATTCTCACAGAGAAACTCTCATTACTGCTCAACAGAGGAGGTGAGAGAGACACACACACACACACTCTCTCTCACACACACACACACACACACTCTCTCACACACACTCACAGTTTTGTTATTGAGAGGAAAGCTCAGCACGTTTACATGTTCATCTAAGTGTATGTGTGTGTGTGTGTGTGTGTGTGTGTGTGTGTGCGCAGAGGACCCAGTCTGTGTGTTCACACACTCTCCTCCAGCGCCTCACGCTGTGCTGAAGTTCCTGCAGGACGTGTTTTCCAGCCGTGACACGTCAGACATCTTCTACCGCTCGGACCTGATGGTGATGATCGACGTCGCAGTGAGGCAGATCTCAGACCTGTCGCCTGGAGACCGAGTAAGTCATGTGACCTGCGCTGCGAGAGCGTCATGTGACCTGCGCTGCGAGACTCATGTGACGCGTGTCTCTCTCCTCAGATGCGGATGGAGTATCTGTCTCTGATGCTCAACATCATGCGCTCCACTGATTACCTGGAGCACCGGCACCGGCTGACGGACCTGCGCGCGGCGCTGCAGAGGATCCTGGGAGAGGAGGATTGTGGGAAGGGTCCGGGAGCCAGCGGACAGATGGACCGACTCATCGTGCAGCAGATCTACCAGGAGTTTCCTCACATCGATCAGTGCTAAACCTGCTCGTCTCACTGCTAACCCTAACGGTGTTCATATCATCCCGCTCTATAGTGACCTTTGACCCTCGGCCAACAACGCTAACCCTCTAACGGGAGCCCTAACTATACTCACCGGTCCGTGGAATATGAGTTTACAGTATTAATACATTGATCTGTGTGTTTCACTGCTAGATGATCTATTTTTCCTCTTTTGGGTTTTTGTTCAGAAGGGAAACGTAACATAATATATTTTCTTAACGGTGAAAGACTAATAAAATGCTGCTATCCTCCTAATGCACCTGAGGTATGTGTGTCTGTCTTTCTTTTACACCTATAGTGTATATTGTACGGAAGACATTTTATCCACAGAAGAAACAAATTATGCTTGTGTATATCTATCTAAATTCTGACAAAAAAGTCTAAATGATGACATACTAAGTCATTTATGAGACGCAAAGTCGAGTTTATGTGCTGATTTAGCAGTATATAGTTATGTATATTATAACTGAATAATGAAAAATAATAATAATGAACATTTATTAAAATGCTGCTGTCCTAATGCACCTGAAGTCTGTGTGTCTGTGTGTTTTTTAACCTATAGTGTATATTGTACGGAAGACATTTTATCCACAAAAGTAATAATGCTTTTGTATCTAAATGATGACATGCTAAGTTATCTATGAGATGAAATGTTTTTGATTTAAAAAGTCAAAAGTGTGACATACTAAGTTATCTATGAGATGAAAGTCGAAATTATGACCTAAAAATACAAAATGATGACAGTATAAGTCATATTTATGAGATGCAAAGTCGCATTTTAAAAGAGCCGCTCTGTGAGGATTAGCAGCGGTCTGAACAAGCATATGAATAATGGCAAGGACAAACTTTTGATAGATCTCTAATTAAAAATACAAAATATATAGTTATTATACAAGTGAGGAGTTATTACATGGTTATTGTGCGAGTTATGATCTGCTAAGCTCCGCCCGTTCCAGTGCTGCGGTCCGTCGGTGAAATAGTTCCGGGTGTGTGTGTATGTGTGTGAAAGGTCGCGGCTGAAAACACCTGTCTGTTTGTCATTAGTCCGTCATTGTGCTTCAGACACACACACACACACACATCAGTCGCTGTCTGGCCCCGCACGAGCCGATCATGTCGAAGCCGCAGCCCATCAGCCCGATGAAGAACTTCTTCGCCGGCGGCTTCGGGGGAGTGTGCCTAGTGTTCGCTGGACACCCGCTGGATACCATCAAAGTAACAACATCATAGCTTATTTTCATTAGTTTGTTTAGTGTTCGCTGGATATTATCAGGGCCAAAGTAGTCCTTGCTGTCATTATATTATAGTGATTCACTTTGATAAAGGGTTCATAGTACAGTCATTTCTGTTTTATGTTAAATGTGGTCTGAAGAATCTACAGGAGCCTTTATCTGTTAGTTGTGTGTACGTGTTCTTGTCAGTGGGGTGTTTGAGATAACCCCTGGACTTGTGACCTTTGACCTGGATCTGTTTGTGTGGTCAGTAGTGTCTTATTGAACGGTGTGTTGTCATGTGGTCATGCGCAGGTGCGATTGCAGACGCAGCCCAAACCCCGTCCAGGGGAATCTGCGCTTTACAGGGGGACGTTCGACTGCTGCAAGAAAACCCTGGCGAAAGAGGTGAGTGTGTCTCACTGCACCTGTCTCACTGTATCCGTCTCATTGCACCTGTCTCACTGTATCCGTCTCATTGCACCTGTCTTACTGTATCTGTCTCACTGCATCTGTCTCACTGCACCTGTCTCACTGTATCCGTCTCATTGCACCTGTCTTACTGTATCCGTCTCATTGCACCTGTCTCACTGTATCCGTCTCATTGCACCTGTCTTACTGTATCTGTCTCACTGCATCTGTCTCACTGCACCTGTCTCACTGTATCCGTCTCATTGCACCTGTCTCACTGTATCCGTCTCATTGCACCTGTCTTACTGTATCTGTCTCACTGCATCTGTCTCACTGCACCTGTCTCACTGTATCCGTCTCATTGCACCTGTCTTACTGTATCCGTCTCACTGTATCTGTCTCACTGCACCTGTCTCACTGCACCTGTCTCACTGTATCCGTCTCACTGCACCTGTCTTACTGTATCTGTCTCACTGTATCCGTTTCACTGCACCTGTCTCACTGTATCTGTCTCACTGCACCTGACCCACTGTATCTGTCTCACTGTATCCGTTTCACTGCACCTGTCTCACTGTATCTGTCTCACTGCACCTGTCTCACTGTATCTGTCTCACTGCACCTGTCTCACTGTATCCATCTCACTGCACCTGTCTCACCGTATCTGTCTCACTGCACTTGTCTTATTGTATCTGTCTCACTGTATCCGTCTCACTGCACCTGTCTCACTGCACCTGTCTCACTGCACCTGTCTCACTGCACCTGTCTCACTGTATCCGTCTCATTGCACCTGTCTCACTGTATCCGTTTCACTGCACCTGTCTCACTGTATCTGTCTCACTGCACCTGTCTCACTGCACCTGTCTCACTGTATCTGTCTCACTGTATCTGTCTCACTGTATCCGTTTCACTGCACCTGTCTCACTGTATCTGTCTCACTGCACCTGTCTCACTGTATCTGTCTCACTGCACCTGTCTCACTGTATCTGTCTCACTGCACCTGTCTCACTGTATCCATCTCACTGCACCTGTCTCACCGTATCTGTCTCACTGCACTTGTCTTATTGTATCCATCTCACTGCACCTGTCTTACTGTATCCGTCTCACTGCACCTGTCTTACTGCATCTGTCTCACTGTATCCGTCTCACTGTATCTGTCTCACTGTATCTGTCTCACTGCACCTGACTCACTGTATCCGTCTCACTGCACCTGTCTCACTGTATCCGTCTCACTGCACCTGTCTCACTGCACCTTTCTCACTGTATCTGTCTCACTGCACCTGTCTTACTGTATCCATCTCACTGCACCAGTCTCACCGTATCTGTCTCACTGCACCTGTCTCACTGTATCCGTCTCACTGCACCTGTCTTACTGTATCTGTCTCACTGTATCCGTTTCACTGCACCTGTCTCACTGTATCTGTCTCACTGCACCTGTCTCACTGTATCTGTCTCACTGCACCTGTCTCACTGTATCCGTCTCACTGCACCTGTCTTACTGTATCCGTCTCACTGTATCTCTCACTGTATCCGTCTCACTGCACCTGTCTTACTGTATCCGTCTCACTGTATCTCTCACTGTATCAGTCTCACTGCACCTGTCTCACTGTATCTGTCTCATTGTATCTGTCTCACTGCACCTGTCTTACTATATCCGTCTCACTGCACCTGTCTCACTGTATCCGTCTCACTGAACCTGTCTCACTGTATCTGTCTCACTGCACCTGACTCACTGTATCCGTCTCACTGCACCTGTCTCACTGTATCTGTCTCACTGCACCTGTCTTACTGTATCCATCTCACTGCACCAGTCTCACCGTATCTGTCTCACTGCACCTGTCTTAATGTATCCGTCTCACTGCACCTGTCTTACTGTGTCCGTCTCACTGCACCTGTCTCACTGTATCTGTCTCACTGCACCTGTCTTACTGTATCTGTCTCACTGTATCTCTCACTGTATCTGTCTTACTGCATCTGTCTCACTGCACCTTTCTCACTGCACCTGTCTCACTGCATCCGTCTCACTGCATCTGTCTCACTGCACCTGTCTCACTGCATCTGTCTCACTGCACCTGTCTTGCTGTATCCGTCTCACTGCATCTGTCTCACTGCACCTGTCTTGCTGTATCCGTCTCACTGCACCTGTCTCACTGTATCTGTCTCACTGCACCTGTCTCACTGTATCTGTCTCACTGCATCTGTCTCACTGCACCTGTCTTGCTGTGTCCATCTCACTGCACCTGTCTCACTGTATCTGTCTCACTGTATCTGTCTCGCTGCACCTGTCTCACTGTTTCTGTCTCACTCTACCTGTCTCACTGTATCTGTCTCGCTGCATCTGTCTCACTGCATCTGTCTCACTGCATCTGCTTCACTGCGTGTCTCACTGCACCTATCTCACTGCATTTGTCTCACTGCACCTGTCTCACTGCACCTGTCTCATTGCGTCTGTCTCACTGCGTCTGCCTCCCTGCATCTGTCTCACTGCATCTGTCTCACTGCACCTGTCTCACTGCACCTGTCTTGCTGTATCCGTCTCACTGCACCTGTCTCACTGCATCATAGCTGTATGGTGATACCTGTCTGTCTCACTGCACCTGTCTGTCTCTCAGGGTCTGCGAGGGCTCTATAAGGGCATGGCGGCCCCCATCATCGGAGTCACGCCCATGTTCGCCGTCTGCTTCTTCGGGTTCGGCCTCGGGAAGAAGCTTCAGCAGAAAACACCAGACGACGCTCTGACGTGAGGCGCTGATGATGATCAGATTAATTGACTTATTATCCTTTTGAATTGGGGTGAAGCAAAATCATGCATGAGATTAAAAAGTCAAAATTTTGAGATAAAAGGTCATAATTATGAGATAAATTTGTGTGTGTGGTGTATCTGTGTGTGTGTGTGTGTGTGTGTTTGGTGTGTATCTGTTTCTGTGTGTGTGTGTGTGTGTGTGTGTGTGTGTGTGTGTGTGTGTGTGTTTGGTGTGTATCTGTTTCTGTGTGTGTGTGTGTGTGTGTGTGTGTTTGGTGTGGATCTGTTTCTGTGTGTGTGTTTGGTGTGTGTTTGGTGTGTGTGTGTGTGTGTGTGTGTGTGTGTGTGTGTGTGTGTGTGTGTGTGTGTGTGTGTGTGTGTGTGTGTGTGTGTGTGTGTGTGTGTGTGTGTGTGTGTGTGTGTGTCAGGTATCCGCAACTGTTCGCGGCCGGTATGCTCTCAGGTGTTTTCACCACGGCCATCATGGCTCCAGGAGAGAGAATCAAATGCCTCCTGCAGGTGAGAGACACGCATGTGCTTCACTATTCCACATGTGAACCGTGTGTGTGTGTGTGTGTATGACTAGTGTGTGTTGGTGTGTGTTTGCAGATCCAGGCGGCGACTGGAGAGGTGAAGTACTCGGGGCCGATGGACTGTGTGAAGCAGCTGTACAGAGAGAACGGCCTCCGCAGCATCTATAAGGGAACGGCTCTGACGCTCATGAGAGGTAAAACAGTGTTTATCCACGTTACAGATTATCCACGTTACAGTTTATCCACGTTACAGTTTATCCACGTTACAGTTTATCCACGTTACAGATTATCCACGTTACAGTTTATCCAGGTTACAGTTTATCCACGTTACAGTTTATCCACGTTACAGTTTATCCACGTTACAGATTATCCAGGTTACAGTTTATCCACGTTACAGTTTATCCACGTTACAGATTATCCACGTTACAGTTTATCCACGTTACAGTTTATCCACGTTACAGTTTATCCACGTTACAGTTTATCCACGTTACAGATTATCCACGTTACAGTTTATCCACGTTACAGTTTATCCACGTTACAGATTATCCACGTTACAGTTTATCCACGTTACAGATTATCCACGTTACAGTTTATCCACGTTACAGATTATCCAGGTTACAGTTTATCCACGTTACAGTTTATCCACGTTACAGATTATCCAGGTTACAGTTTATCCAGGTTACAGTTTATCCACGTTACAGATTATCCACGTTACAGTTTATCCACGTTACAGATTATCCAGGTTACAGTTTATCCACGTTACAGATTATCCAGGTTACAGTTTATCCACGTTACAGTTTATCCACATTACAGATTATCCAGGTTACAGTTTATCCAGGTTACAGTTTATCCACGTTACAGTTTATCCACGTTACAGATTATCCACGTTACAGTTTATCCACGTTACAGATTATCCAGGTTACAGTTTATCCACGTTACAGTTTATCCACATTACAGATTATCCAGGTTACAGTTTATCCACGTTACAGTTTATCCAGGTTACAGTTTATCCAGGTTACAGTTTATCCACGTTACAGTTTATCCACATTACAGATTATCCAGGTTACAGTTTATCCACATTACAGATTATCCAGGTTACAGTTTATCCACGTTACAGTTTATCCAGGTTACAGTTTATCCACATTACAGATTATCCAGGTTACAGTTTATCCACGTTACAGTTTATCCAGGTTACAGTTTATCCACGTTACAGTTTATCCACGTTACAGATTATCCACGTTACAGTTTATCCACGTTACAGTTTATCCACGTTACAGATTATCCAGGTTACAGTTTATCCACGTTACAGTTTATCCACGTTACAGATTATCCAGGTTACAGTTTATCCACGTTACAGTTTATCCAGGTTACAGTTTATCCACGTTACAGTTTATCCACGTTACAGTTTATCCACGTTACAGTTTATCCACGTTACAGATTATCCAGGTTACAGTTTATCCACGTTACAGTTTATCCACGTTACAGATTATCCAGGTTACAGTTTATCCACGTTACAGTTTATCCACGTTACAGATTATCCAGGTTACAGTTTATCCAGGTTACAGATTATCCACGTTACAGATTATCCACGTTACAGATTATCCACGTTACAGATTATCCACGTTACAGATTATCCACGTTACAGTTTATCCAGGTTACAGATTATCCAGGTTACAGTTTATCCACGTTACAGTTTATCCACGTTACAGTTTATCCACGTTACAGTTTATCCACGTTACAGTTTATCCACGTTACAGTTTATCCAGGTTACAGATTATCCAGGTTACAGTTTATCCACGTTACAGTTTATCCACGTTACAGTTTATCCAGGTTACAGATTATCCAGGTTACAGTTTATCCACGTTACAGATTATCCAGGTTACAGTTTATCCACGTTACAGATTATCCACGTTACAGATTATCCACGTTACAGTTTATCCACGTTACAGTTTATCCACGTTACAGTTTATCCAGGTTACAGTTTATCCAGGTTACAGATTATCCAGGTTACAGTTTATCCACGTTACAGTTTATCCACGTTACAGTTTATCCAGGTTACAGATTATCCAGGTTACAGTTTATCCACGTTACAGATTATCCAGGTTACAGTTTATCCACGTTACAGATTATCGACGTTACAGATTATCCACGTTACAGTTTATCCACGTTACAGTTTATCCACGTTACAGTTTATCCAGGTTACAGATTATCCAGGTTACAGTTTATCCACGTTACAGTTTATCCACGTTACAGTTTATCCAGGTTACAGATTATCCAGGTTACAGTTTATCCACGTTACAGATTATCCAGGTTACAGTTTATCCACGTTACAGATTATCCACGTTACAGTTTATCCACGTTACAGTTTATCCACGTTACAGTTTATCCACGTTACAGTTTATCCACGTTACAGATTATCCAGGTTACAGATTATCCAGGTTACAGTTTATCCACGTTACAGATTATCCAGGTTACAGTTTATCCACGTTACAGATTATCCACGTTACAGTTTATCCACGTTACAGATTATCCAGGTTACAGATTATCCAGGTTACAGTTTATCCACGTTACAGATTATCCAGGTTACAGTTTATCCACGTTACAGTTTATCCAGGTTACAGTTTATCCACGTTACAGATTATCCAGGTTACAGTTTATCCACGTTACAGATTATCCAGGTTACAGTTTATCCACGTTACAGTTTATCCAGGTTACAGTTTATCCACGTTACAGATTATCCAGGTTACAGATTATCCAGGTTACAGTTTATCCACGTTACAGATTATCCACGTTACAGTTTATCCACGTTACAGATTATCCAGGTTACAGATTATCCACGTTACAGATTATCCAGGTTACAGTTTATCCACGTTACAGATTATCCAGGTTACAGATTATCCACGTTACAGATTATCCAGGTTACAGTTTATCCACGTTACAGTTTATCCAGGTTACAGTTTATCCACGTTACAGATTATCCAGGTTACAGTTTATCCACGTTACAGATTATCCACGTTACAGTTTATCCACGTTACAGTTTATCCAGGTTACAGTTTATCCACGTTACAGTTTATCCACGTTACAGTTTATCCACGTTACAGTTTATCCACGTGACAGTTTATCCACGTTACAGATTATCCAGGTTACAGTTTATCCACGTTACAGATTATCCAGGTTACAGATTATCCAGGTTACAGTTTATCCACGTTACAGTTTATCCACGTTACAGTTTATCCACGTTACAGTTTATCCACGTTACAGTTTATCCACGTTACAGTTTATCCACGTTACAGATTATCCAGGTTACAGTTTATCCACGTTACAGATTATCCAGGTTACAGATTATCCAGGTTACAGTTTATCCACGTTACAGATTATCCAGGTTACAGATTATCCAGGTTACAGTTTATCCACGTTACAGATTATCCAGGTTACAGTTTATCCACGTTACAGATTATCCACGTTACAGATTATCCACGTTACAGATTATCCAGGTTACAGATTATCCAGGTTACAGTTTATCCACGTTACAGATTATCCAGGTTACAGTTTATCCACGTTACAGTTTATCCACGTTACAGTTTATCCAGGTTACAGATTATCCAGGTTACAGTTTATCCACGTTACAGATTATCCAGGTTACAGTTTATCCACGTTACAGATTATCCACGTTACAGATTATCCAGGTTACAGTTTATCCACGTTACAGATTATCCACGTTACAGATTATCCAGGTTACACAGGGTATCCGCGGGGTCTTGAAAAGTATTAAAAGGTGATAAATCAATTTTGGGAAAATTAAGACCCTTAAAAAGTATTAAAAAGTCTTATCACGGCTTTATAAAGTCTTAAATTTTGAAAGTATTTTTTCTAGGGATGCACCGAATATTCGGCCACCGAAAATAGCCCAAAAGTGCATTTTCGGAAAGACTTTTATCACCGAAACAATACGGCCGAAATGTTGTGATGACGCAAACAGAAACCGCGACCTGCACGTGCTTGTCTGAAGCAACCTTTTACTGTCTATGGAAGCAACATGTCTGCGGTGTGGACGTATTTCAGTATATCTGAACCCGCGAGGAGACGGAAGCCTTGTTTATACTTTCGCCTGCCTCTGCAGCGCGAGTCTCCACAGACAGCGCGCGTAACGTTACCTCTCCAAACGGTCGAGGCGTTTATACTTGACGCGCTCGCCGTTGTACTATTCTTTGAAACGACAGGGGACGACTCAAGTAACTGTCCTCTAACCATCAGGAATAGGTGAGAAGAAAGATAAACACGTGACAATGTTTATTTTTTAGTAGCCTACCACCACCAATACAAAAATAATCATGTAAAACCCAGTAAACCCTGAGATTATTACTTGTGACATTACAACAAAATATGTATAGGAATATGTACTAAATTAACGCTCTCTTAAATATTTTCTAATTTCACTAAACATATTTCATTAAGTTTCGTGTACATTTGTATTAAACATGGACCTTTGTTCATTAAAATGGCTTTTTATGCTAGTGTATGCTCATTTTTAAAATGTAATCAACTAATTTAGACATGCAAACTGGGTGCTGGTGTGATGAGAAGTTCGTGCTCGGCTTTGTTTTTATGAGAGAACATTTAATTTTAAAACCTTTCTGCAGGCCAGCAGATTATTATTTAATGTACACATGAGTGGGGTCAAGTTAAACATTTTAGTTTGAATTTTATTTTATACTGTGCATTGTGCTAAATAAATATTTGCATAATTTGTAATTGATTTATTCTTTGAAAATGTTAATTTATGCAATTGCAATGCCTTGATTTTAGTATTAAGTTTGTACACAGTCATAACCATAAATGCAATGGTACTTATAATTGGCATAATTTCTTTCGGTGTTTCGGTTTTCGGTTTTTCGGCCTTGGGTTCCTCTTTTTCGGTTTTCGGTTTCGGCCAAGAATTTTCATTTCGGTGGATCCCTAATTTTTTCTGAATTAGCTGTCCAACAGTTTGAGTCCCAAAAACATCGTAAAAGTGTGTGAATTTAGTGATTTTTATTTTTAAAAAAACGAAGAACTGAGGCACATGTCAGCATGATTGTTGTTGAGGGTGGAGCAAAGTTTTGTTTTGTTTTTTAATAAACTTTGCTTTAATTTACTATCCCAGCCTATTTGATTTTTTTTTATCAGAGTGGTCTATAGTCTTTATCACAAACTAAAACTGTTAAGTTAAAAGTATCACTGTAAATGGTTACAGCTTGAAGTGGCGGTGAGGTATTAAAAAATATTGAGAAGGTCTTGAAAAAGTCTTGAAAAGGTATTAAAATTAACTTCAAGATTCCTGCATATACCCTGTTACAGTTTATCCACGTTACAGTTTATCCACGTTACAGTTTATCCACGTTACAGTTTATCCACGTTACAGTTTATCCACGTTACAGATTATCCAGGTTACAGTTTATCCACGTTACAATTTATCCACGTTACAGTTTATCCACGTTACAGTTTATCCACGTTACAGTTTATCCACATTACAGTTTATCCACGTTACAGTTTATCCACGTTACAGATTATCCAGGTTACAGTTTATCCACGTTACAGATTATCCAGGTTACAGTTTATCCACGTTACAGTTTATCCACGTTACAGATTATCCAGGTTACAGATTATCCAGGTTACAGTTTATCCACGTTACAGTTTATCCACATTACAGTTTATCCACGTTACAGTTTATCCACGTTACAGATTATCCAGGTTACAGTTTATCCACGTTACAGATTATCCAGGTTACAGTTTATCCACGTTACAGTTTATCCACGTTACAGATTATCCAGGTTACAGATTATCCAGGTTACAGTTTATCCAGGTTACAGATTATCCAGGTTACAGTTTATCCAGGTTACAGATTATCCACGTTACAGTTTATCCACGTTACAGTTTATCCACGTTACAGATTATCCACGTTACAGTTTATCCACGTTACAGTTTATCCACGTTACAGATTATCCATGTTACAGTTTATCCAGGTTACAGTTTATCCACGTTACAGTTTATCCACATTACAGTTTATCCACGTTACAGATTATCCACGTTACAGTTTATCCACGTTACAGATTATCCACGTTACAGTTTATCCACGTTACAGATTATCCACGTTACAGTTTATCCACGTTACAGATTATCCACGTTACAGTTTATCCACGCTAGAGCTGCGCGGTTGGCGGTTACAGCCGCGGACTCAGCAGATAAACCGCGGATCGGGCGGATGACGGGACGAAAAAAAATATTTTAATTAAATTCGGGTGGGTGGCGGGCGGTTGAACCAATCAAATGAATATATACATTGTTAATTATTGTTATCTGACTATACCTACATCCAAAAAATAAAAAGTAAATCGAGCACACTTTGAAATAGTCAAATTTTCATCTAGTCGAGTCTATGCAGAGACTGCTTGTTGTTATCAGAGATGGCGAAGGAGCTGCGTGACAAACTTAAAAAAGGAGAATTAAAAACAAAGGAAATAGAAGGTCAGAAAAGTGTTGCCTGGAATAAGTTGTGGGCTCTCTTGATATGCGCCCGTTCGGTATTGTTTCTGGTAAAGGATTCCTCCAAGTGGCCCAGACATGATTGACATTGGAGCTAAGTTCGGTGCTGTTGACGAGGGACGAGCCTGTTCTGAAGACTCCCGTTCATTTTGAAAGCACGGGAAGAGAGCGGAGAGCGCGTCTTTTTCAGGCACAGTGCAATTCATTTTATACCATCAACAGGCCTAACCAGGGGCGTTACTAGGATTTTCATTTTAGTAGGGCTAAGCCTCCAATGAGGGTATCATTTTTTTTTTTTATAATTTAAAAAGTTAACGCTCACTATTAACCAGTTAACCAAAGGCAGGGTTTTATCATCACTGTTGTCCCAAATGTGAGGTAGGGTATAAGGGGGTTCGGGGTTTCACCCGAGAAAATTTTGATTTCTCTGATCTACATATGTGCATTTTAAGAAAAAATTGGATAACAGCTTTATAACCATGTCAGTGGGCAGCTGATTATTTTTCTCTCCTCCTCATCTCTTGCCCTGTCTCTTCCCCTCCTAAAGCTGAGCTTTGACTGATATAGGCTTTTCATTTTTGTCTGTCAGTGAAGAAAGTAAACATAGGGTCAACTGATAGGTTGATTTTGCCTATGAATCATTTTCTCAGACGCGTTTATTTACTGAAACCTACTAAAGCTAGGTATTAAATGCATTCACAATTTGTAGGCTACACATTCATTATTGATCTTATGCCTAATACAGGGCCGTAGACAGGGCTTTATAATCACAGAGGTCCTAAATTTGATGTTGGTAGGGGGTTCCATTTTTTTATTTGTCTGATGTGCATTTCAAGATGAAAAAAAGGATAAGAAATAGCTTTAAAACCATGTCAGTGGGCAGTAGATTATTTGTCAATACCTGCTCTCTCCTCATCTCCATCACTCTTTCTTTTTTTCTCAGTCTCTTCATCCCTTTCTCTTCCCCTAAAGATGAGCTTTTTTTAATATACTAAAGGCTACATTTTGTATTATGTTCTCAATATGTACACATTCATTATTAATCTTGTGCCTAACATGATGAAAACGGCTCTGTTAATGTTTCTTGTCGCCTCACAATGACAGTAAACTAATCATTACATGAGTCACGTTACATAGGCCTATTTACAGTTCAAAATGGCGAAATTAGACAAAACTATATTAGTTTGCCTGATTATTTTTAGTCATTCGTTTAACATTTACGACCTAAAAAAATGTCACATATGAAATGTTAAGTTTAGCTACTTACATCTTATCTCGCACTTGACCGTACGCGTCGAGTTGCACTGTTAAAATTCGCGCTCAGCGTCTGTGAACATAAAGCCCGCCTACTTTGATTTGATTGGTCATCTCAAATATTCTGACATTGACGAGCAGTGACAGACCAATGAGGCTCAGATGAACACACACACACACACACACGTCCTCTGTTTCTGACGCTGCGGATTGAAGATGAAGAACGCGCTGAATCCGATTATAACAAGACTGAACATGAATTTGTGTAGCCTACATTAATCTCACATTTTTAGGGGGGCTAGGCAGAGGTTTAGAGCTGAAGCCCCCCTAAAAAGGGCCTAGCGACGCCCCTGGGCCTAACAATCATATAATAAACTATAGAGCCTCGATATTAAAGAAACGCCGAAGTCACTATAGGCTTTTTCGTTGGTGCGCCATCAGCTATGTCTGCAAAAGACAGATGAAATCTAATATTAATAATTGATCCATGTCGGTATACACAGCCTAATATTTTATAATGAAAAATAGCCTACACAATAAAGACAGACTATTTACTTTTTAGCCTATTTATTAAATCCAGGAAATTGGTTAATGAAACATGGATTAAAATGAAGATACAATTAATACAAAACGGAATTCGCTTTAAAGAAAGGCTTTGTGCTTTATTGAGGCCTCTGTGAAAGTTTGAAAGTCTTTTAGTGCCGCTTTCTGAGTGTTCGCGTCCGTAATGGAGAACTGTCACGCCCCATACAATAGCAGCATGGTGAAATTATGTGCCAAAATGCGTTTTCTATTCGGCTACAATGAACATATTGTACAGTAGCCTATCAGATAAGGCCGAGGTGCGTTTAATTTAGGCTATTTGTTTATTTTTGTCCCTGCGCGCCGATCAGAGAGGAGTTCACTGCTGATATTCTGAGAGCTTTCTAGTCTCGCGGCTGTCATCAGCGGCGCCTTGTATCGGCCAATCAGCGGATGGCGGGCGGTGCCGTTTTGAAAATTGGTCAAAAACGCTGGTGCGGACGGATGGCGGACGGATGGCGGACGGATGATGAGTTTTGTGATGCGGATGAAATAATAGCCCATCCGCGCATCTCTAGTCCACGTTACAGATTATCCACGTTACAGTTAACTATTAAAAACATTTCCTTTAATTCCTTTAATAAAGCTGAAATGAAATATAAATATTAGTTGAAAAACTACACAAACATTAGACATTAGTTTGATGTGATGCTGATGATTGACAGCTGTCACTCTGTGTCTCAGATGTGCCGGCCAGTGGAATGTACTTCATGACGTACGAGTGGCTGAAGTACTCGCTCACGCCGGAGGGCAAGAGGTCAGTCGGGTCACATGACCAACGCTTATTACTCGACCCATCTGCGCGATCTCATGTGTGTGTGTGTGTGTGTAATCAACAGTCCAACGGAGCTCAGCATTCCCAGCATCCTCTTTGCCGGCGGGATGGCGGGGATCTTCAACTGGGCCGTGGCGATTCCTCCCGACGTGCTGAAGTCCCGTTTCCAGACCGGTACGTGTGTGTGTGTGTGAGTGACAGTGTGTGTGTGTGTGTGTGTGTGTGTGTGTGTGTGTGTGTGTGTGTGTGTGTGTGTGTGTGTGTGAGACAGTGTGTGTGTGTGTGTGTGTGTGTGTGTGTGTGTGTGTGTGTGTGAGACAGTGTGTGTGTGTGTGAGTGAGTGTGTCTGAGAGTGTGTTTGTGTGAGAATGTGTGTGTGTGTGAGTGACATTGTGTGTGTGTGTGTGTGTGTGTGTGTGTGTGTGTGTGTGAGAGTGTGTGTGTGTGTGTGTGTGTGTGTGAGTGACATTGTGTGTGTGTGTGTGTGTGTGTGTGTGTGTGTGTGTGTGTGTGTGTGAGTGACAGTGTGTGTGTGTGTGTGTGTGTCTGAGTGACAGTATTTGTGTGAGTGACTGTGTGTGTGTGTGTGTGTGTGTGTGTGTGTGTGTGTGTGTGTGTGTGTGTGTGAGTGAGTGACAGTATTTGTGTGAGTGACAGTGTGTGTGTGTGTGTGTGTGTGTGTGTGTCTGAGTGACAGTGTGTGTGTGTGTGTGTGTGTGTGTGTGTGTGTGTGTGTGTGTGTGTGTGTGTGTGTGTGTGTGTGTGTGTGTGTGTGAGTGTGTGTTGGTGTGTGTGTGTGTGTGTGAGTGACAGTGTGAGTGTGTGTGAGTGACAGTGTGTGTGTGTGTGTGTGTGTGTGTGTGTGTGTGTGAGTGACAGTGTGTGTTGATCCACAGCTCCTGAAGGCAAGTATCCGAACGGCTTCCGGGACGTCCTGAGAGAGCTGGTGCGTGAGGAGGGCATCGGCTCGCTCTATAAGGGCTTCAGTGCTGTGATGCTCAGAGCGTTTCCAGCTAATGCGGTACGACACACTCGACACTACAGGGGCACATGAGGGTCAAACCGCTCAGATTTCACTCCAAAACCAGATTTACTGCCTCGATTTTCCCTCAATTCTCACATATTTCTCTCATTGCTTTTGGTGATGCTATAATTCCATTTAAATGACCATAAATTAACAAATAATCAATACCACTAAATAATGAATAAAGACACATTTTAAAACTTTAAATAACTAAAAAAAATCTTCATGGAATAAAAAAATAAGATAAGAAAATAAATCCTCCTTTGGCAAATCATAATTATGAGATAAAAGTAAATGATGATAAATAAATAAACAAATTCCACATTTTATCTCATAATTACGACTTTAATTGAATGATTTTTTAATTGATTTTTTAAATGTAATAATGACCTTTATGTCACTATCGTGATTCTGACCAACCCAGGCTTGCGCAGGAAGTGTGTCCTGGCCGACTCAATAAACTCAATGATCCGCCCCACTTCCAGCAGGTCAATAACACAGTTTTCCCTTTCCCTCAGGCCTGTTTTCTGGGCTTTGAAGTGGCCATGAAGTTTCTGAACTGGATCGCTCCAAATCTGTGATCCAGAACCAGAAGTGACACCAGAACGCGGCGTACGGATCGGTCCCAGCAGAGCCACCCGACGGACTGTAGCACATGTTAATGAATGATTTATCTGAGAGGATTTTAATCTGTAATAGTGCCTTATAACAGACTGTGAGCCGATTTCTGCCTTCAGGGAAACTGATTGTTTCATGTAAAACCCATAAACTGTAAACCTCTGTCTGTACATGAGCACGTCTATTCAGACTCTGCCGTCGGCCCTCACGACAGGAATCCAGTACACAGTCAAGGCCTGTTTCTTTAATAGTTTTGTTCATTATGTTTAATTCTCAGTTATTATCACCTACATCATGTACATAAATAAATGTATATTGATCATTTTCATATGATGCTGTATTGATTTGTGTGTTTCCTGCCTCTGTCCTCATGTTATCTTACCTCTAAATCTATTTTATGTAATAATTTCAACTATTTATGCCAAAATTACAACTTAAATTTAATAAACCACGTTTATATCATAATTTCAATTAATCTCATAATTGTGAGATTTTTAATTTAATAATTAGCTTTTGTCATAAATTTTACTTTTTATCTCGTAATTACAACTTCAATTTAATAAATTGCTTTTATATCATAATTCAATCTCATAAATGGACTTTTACACAGCAAAATCCTCGGAGTTAAATTAACAAGTTAAAGAAACACTGGTCACCATAATGGTGACAAAACATTGTCAATAAAACATCCATATCTAATCCTCTGTTAATTCTCAATAAGAACTTCTGCAGATGAATGGCAGAAATACAGTAAATCTGGTTATTAATAAGTGAAGCTGGTAATGATGTTTGTGGAGTTGTTTAATCCTCTGCTGAGATCGAGAGATTCAATTTCTTCTTTTATCTTCAGTTGATTTCGTTTTTCTTTTCTTCAGTGGTTCTGCTTGTTAACAGCAGGTGTTCATCACTAATGCTCAATAATCTCTTAATTAATCACTTCATTATCTCATTACCTTTAACTCTGATTCAGAGTTGCGTTAAAACACTGTAGAGTGGGACCATATGTGCTCTGAGAAGAGTTAATTTAACTTTATTTTGCTGTGTACAGTGTAATTTGAGACCTTTTGAGATGGAAATGCTGATTAAAATGGGAAAGCATAAAACACAAGGTGTAAATGGCGCAGTGGATAAGACACATGCCTTTGGTGTGAGAGACCTGGGTTCGAATCCACTGTGAGACACCAGTGTGTCCCTGAGCAAGACACTTCACCCCTAGTTGCTCCAGAGGCGTGCGACCTCTGACATATATAGCAATTGTAAGTCGCTTTGGATAAAAGCGTCAGCTAAATGAATAAATGTAAATGTAAATGGCCGACCAGCAGTCGTGATATTTTTGAGGACAGTCAATATTTTCCGCTGCGATGGTCAGTGTCTATCCGTCAGGAGTCGATGGTTCTGTCCTCAGGGAAGATCCCAGTTAAACCAGTTTAGACGAGCTCCTGTGATGCAGAGGCAGCGGGAGTTGTGCTGTGGATCAGGGTTAGATGTGTGTGATTATTGACCGCTGAGGCGTCAGGATGAGCGAGAGGATGAGTGTGGATGTTCCCGCGGGATTGACGGATCTCCTGAAGGGATACACCCTGGAGGTTCTGAAGCAGAGGCCCGTGGACCTGCTGGAGTTCGCGGTTCAGCACTTCACCCGCCTGAAGGAGCGCAGGAGCTGCACGATCCGGAGCAGATCCCCGGTGACCCGCGGAGTGGCCTTCGACCAGGACTCTGCTCCCACCGACGAGGAGGAGGAACACGGAGAAGAGGAGGAGGAGGAACACGGAGAAGAGAAGGAGGAGGAGGAACACGGAGAAGAGGAGGAGGAGGAAGATGACTTTCCAGATGATTTCACTTTCAAAGGTGGGACTTATGAAGTTATGAACTGATGCGTGACTGTCTATCAATTCAATTCGAATTTGCTTTATTGGCATGACTGTAAATAATACAGTATTTAGCTTGGAATACATAGAATAATAATTAAAAAACAAGCAAACATCCAAATAATAGAAGAACATTTTATAACATAACTTAAATTTAACAGTGTAACAAAGAAGAAAATGTGTTCAACATTTCATACCACGATCTGGCGATAAACTATTTGAAACTTCCAGACTTTTGTCAAGCGTGATCAAAGGTTGTTTGCATACTCCTTTCCTTCTCACAGTTGTTAGTTGTGATGTCAGCTCTCAGTATATGCTGATGAAATATGATCCGATGCGTCAGAGACTCAGAACATGGTGAACTCAGTCTGTAGATGATCGGCACTGGCAATGTTATTAATGTTTTTCAATGATTGTATGAGACAGTGACCCTTATTTCTCTCTCTCTCTCTATTCAATTTTCATATTTTTTCTGTCTGTCTATTTGTGTTTTGTGTCTATCTATCTATCTATCTATCTATCTATCTATCTATCTATCTGTCTGTATGTATCTCTCTCTCTCTCTCTCTCTCTCTATCTGTAGCTCCTCCTCCCAGTAAATGCAACAGACGGGTATCAGGTAAAGTGTTTCTCCGTGTGTCTCAGGATTTTTTTGTACCATTGAGATATTATTATAGTTTTTTGTTTCATTTTGAATGTGTTTAATTCAGTGGTTTTCAAACCCTGGGTCGCGAAAAATGGGTCGCCAGTGATTTAAAATAAATAAATAATAATAATTCTGTTTTCTAATTAAATTAATATTAATAATAATAGCTTTGAAACAACGAAACAAACTGAATGCTTCTCCTGACATGCGTGTTGCCCTCTCGTCCTGCGAACCGGCTTGGGACCAGATTATGCAGAATAAGCAGGCCCTTCTCATTAATATACACAAATCACGCACTCGTTCGCTCCACCCGCAACACACACACGTTCGCTCCATCGGCCACAACACACTAACACTCGTCGTTCCTTTCTAGGAATGTCAAAATTAGGCTACTCAAAAATTACGTTCTAAAAAATCCCTCTAAAAAAACACACATGCTAAATTGGTACAAAAAATATGCTATATTCGAACTATTCGAACATCTGGTTGTGCATTACGTCAATAACAGGTCAAATTAATACAAAGAGACATAACTACTTGTTTAGGTAGTTTATTCAAGTTTAAACATATTTGAAAACGTATTATCTACACAAAAACAAGTAGCCTAAATCAACTAATGGCCAAGACCGCAGACCTCACTCTCGCTAGGCACTCTTTAAAGAGCAAGCAATTTTGCGTCTAATAGACGTCTAATAGCCGTCAAAACACAGCCCAGACGTCTAGGCTAAAACAAGGCTAATTTGGGGCTGTCAGTGAAAATCTAATAGACATCTAAACATAGCCCAAGAATAGACTAGTCATCAATTACACTACATATACATGTAATAGACAACAAAATGAGGCATAAGGATTCTTTTCACTCAAATACAACAGGTTCTCATAAATGAAAATCCATCCAAACTAATTGAATATAAAGGATTTATTTAGAACAATTATATTAAAAACTTAGACAACATTTAAAGGAGCTGTATGTAAGAAATTTATTTCAATTAATCATAAAATGGCCCTGAAATGTCACTAGACATTAAGAAATCATGTACATTTCAAATACTTATATCACTGACAACAGTAGTCTGGCCAGGATATTGTCATTTAAAAAGTGCAGTTGCAGCCCTCAACTGATGTTGATGTTGTCATGTTGTGTTTTGGTCTGATGCTCCACCCTCCACCTATCGACCAATCACGAAGTCAGTAATGTTGCGGCATCCGGGTTGCCAGCTCTGCTCTAGTTACCACAGCTGCAGCTTGTCACATTCCTGCTGGATCCTGCAGCCGATCTGGCAACCTCGAGTCAGGGGGGAGGGGGAGGGGATACACCACTCTACTGTAATTTGACAGTGATTGCAGTACTAGTTTTGGCCACAATCTTACATACAGCTCCTTTAAACATAAAAATGAACAAATAAAAAAATAGGAAAATATGTAAAACAACTTAAGATACTAAAATCTTTAAGAATTAATTGTTAGCTTTATATTCATAACCACCACCCCCTGCTCTCCCTGGTGCTTGTTTAAAATGACCAGAAATTGCATTTTTTATTTCCCATTCAGTCGCCGAAGGAAAGTTGGTCATCACTGCGTCTGCCAAATGAGAAAAAGAAAAAAATTATTGCTCAAGAAAAGCATTGTTGACAATCATTTTAATTACAGTCATTCACTTTCGCTAGGATGCACACTAGAGCTGGCCAATATAGAGTTAATGGAATATAGATTGAGACTATTTATATCAATATAGACAATTTATATCAATATTATTAATAAATTAATATCAATAATTAAATTAAGGCCAAAGTAAATTTCTAATCTTCTGATGCATTATGAACCATCCAGAGCTGACCTCTCAGGTCACCTGGGACAGTAGCCAGCTACTTTTATATCCCCAAAGTCAAAACAAAACATGGAGAAGCAGCATTCAGTTATGAACCATATATCTGAAACACATTCACTGAAAACTGAATGTATGCTGCATATTTTTATTATTTTAAATCAAGTTTAAAGACCTTACTGTTTGCCACTACCTTTTATTAATTGGAAAGGAAAAAATATTTTTTTTATATTTTTTTTCATGTTGCTGTTAAGTTTTATGTAAAGTATACTTTGAAAATTTGTATTAAATCAAACCCTATTATTTCTTACTCTAATCTAAAAACAAAAATATATTGGTATCTTTAATAATAATACAACTAAAATAGTAATGATAAGTTTCATAGTTTCATGCTTAGCACTTTGAATTTTAGATTAAGGGCACACAGTTCCAAAAACACGTGCAGGTAACGTTAACTTGTTGCAGAAAAATAGTAGCCTACTCTGCAATGATAATGTTAAAATGTCACGGTTTCTACACATTATAACAACTAACTTATTTAAACAATGAACATAACAAAAATAACACGCATACTTACAAGATCGAAGTATACATTTGAAGGTTTTCAGAGTGTCGCTCACCCGTTGCTCTCCGACAGCTGCCTCGTGTAAAATAAAATTGAAAATGGCAGAAATGTTTATCGCGTGATCTGGTTAAAGTGATCTAGTCGCGCAATGCGTAGAACCCCAGAGTGCAGTCTGGACGATGGGGCGGGGCGACACTTTTAGGCGGGGCGACACGTGTCGCTCCGCCCACCCCCAATTTAATTGGTTTATAATACAGCAATCTTATTGGTGTAAACGATTCAGGTCTGAGCATGCGCATTCCTTTATTATATGTACGATTTTGTGAATGATTTGGCCGTATCAAAGAAATATTAAATGCTAACTTTAATTGTATCAGTTTACCATGGTATTTTTTGTTAATATCTATTGGCTAATACTTTATTATACTTAAGACACAGTATAGATTAAGTTATTGTTTAAAAACGAACGCTTGGTGACATTACTTGTACTTCAGGGAGATGTTTTACATTAGATTAGTGCGTCATTCACTTGGCTTCTTCATATTTCTATCAGGATCGGTGGATCAGCACAAACTCGGGATTTTACGCAAATGATGATAATTGACTGTAAGAATGTAAGAAGCTGATTTTAAATTCTAAAGCATGACCGTTTTTTGTTGTCATTTTTTTTAACGAGATTGTCCAATGCTTGCATTATTTGGTACAAAGTGCAAATAAAATGTTTAATGGCAAACACGTTTCCTGGTTGATTACCTGTTCATACAATATGAGGGCCTATTGGTTCTGTAAAGCCCTATGTTATATTTTTTAAAGATTCATGTTTTCTAATAAGTGTCAACCGGTTATGTACGACTGTCTATCTGTGACTGTGACATCAGGTAAATTAAAAATCCAATTGTTTATTCATCCACCATCGCATTGCGTGTTCATGTTCATAGGCTACTGGATAAAAATGGTTACAAATATTAACACTCACATATAGGCTAGCTGCATAACCATAAAAAAAACACACTGCTATAAATCTGTGCAATTATAATAGGCTGTAATAAAATAAATAAAACACCCAGCAGAGAAGTGATATGAACATGTAGGACAATTGCTTAAGTACGCTCTTGAGCACATAGCCTAGATTATAATATTTGTTATAGATCAACATAACATCTGTTTTAGTAAAAAAAACACACACACATTTATATATATATATATATATTTATTTTCACATTGCAGCGCTGCACGGATTTTATTCCCATTGTACGCACATAACCCAATGGCCAGGGCTTGCTATTTGGTAGCCTGTCTTATTTGTCACCGTGGTTTTGCTTTAAAATAAAATAAAACACACTTTCGGATTTATCCTTTGTTTATACTGAAATACAGGGAATTATCATAACTTGTGTAAAATCCCGAGTTTGTGTTTATTCACTGATCCTAATGGAAAAACGAAGAAGCATAAACGAATGATGTAAAATTAAGGAGCTCTGCATGACATGCGGAGAAATATTGTCTAAATCAGCCCACATAGAAATGATCTCTCCTTTGATCTGCCAGTAATTTCATGTAGTCATGCTCATTGCCCACCAAAAGTGGCACTGACTTATCTGCAGGGTAAATTAATATAGTAGCCTATCTAGGCTAAATCTCAAACAGTGTATTATTTATCAGCAACATATGATGTCGCCAAGCCATAAAACTGCTCAATATTAAAGCTTACAATATGACTTTTTGTAAAGCTGCTTTAAAACGATGTGAATTGTGAATACATTTTGACAGTAACTTCATCTAACTTGATTCGTAAGTTCATCAAAACATTATCCAATTGATCGTTACTGAAATCGCAATTATCACTTAATATAGTACGGCCAAACAGCGTCATAGATAATTCATAAACTCGTACATAAATGAATGTGCATGCTCGTGCCTCAAGCGTCTATGCCAATAAGATTGCTGTATTATAAACCAATAAAATCGGGTGTGGGCGGAGCGACACGTGTCGCCCCACCTAAAAGTGTCGCCCCGCCCCATCGTCCAGACTGCACTCTGGGGCTACTCCGCAATGCCGCCAGTAGTCCCAGTAGTCATGTCTCAGTAGTGTTTCGATTGTGCCATCTAGCGGTTGAGAAATGCCATTGCATTTGATTTAATTTGAAATGATAGACAGTCATATCGTAGATTGTGTATGAATGTTATGTTTATGTGTGACAGGCAGCAAACATTAAGCTGTGTGAGCAAAAACATTTTTAAGACTAATATTCTTATACTATTTCGCTGGTATGAATCATGGCTATAGCCAAGCCGTACGTAGACCAGATTGCTTTGATTTCGCCAGGTGGGCTACAGTAGACCGCATATAGCCCGTCCAATTCAGAGCTGAATCGTGACTACAGATCGACCATGTCGTGAAATGACACATTGAACCTTGCAGATATCATTACAAATGCGAACATGATGGAATATCAACCATTTAATGCACTGCCTGGCAAAAAACTACAATTACTCAGTTTTGACTAAAAGTGGGCTACAATAGCCGGGTCTGAATACGAGCTAAATCGTGGCTACGCACAGCCTACATATATACAGGGCCGGATTAACCATTAGGGCAACTGGGCACTTGCCCAGGGGCCCACGACATCTAAGGGGCCCTGGGCACCAGGGGCGGAGTGGCAATCGGGAGAGTCGGGAGTTTCCCCGGTGGGCCGGTAGTGTTTCGAGGCCGCGAGGGCCGGTCTGATAAAATGTATTCATTGCAAGTTCGCCATGCGCACTTGTGGCCCAAGCGAGGGGAAGAAAAAAAATATTTTAGATAACGGAGCGTATATTTGCACTAAGTGCCTGTCTTTTTACCAAAAAGACGCACGTCACTGAACAGCTACAGTGGCGTAGGTCGTAGCGCGCGAACTGCTTGATAATATCTTTTGATGCGCTCGACCCGAGTTCGAATCCGCCTTTTGCCGAACTCTCTCTTCTCCCTTTTCCCAACACATATGAGATGTAAAATGTATAACCTAACATAAAGGTCTCTAGCGTTATATTTTGCCAACGAACCAAAATCGAAACCATGATATGGCTTTGTGCCTTTATAAAACAGCACAAGACTTTAAGGCATCCTGTGTGTGCTGGGTGATTTAAAGAAAAGTGCACTTTGCTCACGCGATCAGCATGGTTATCTGGTGTTTTCTCCTAAATAAAAGCTCAAGGGTTTATTTCTTGCAAGTGAAGAAATTAGGACAAAAGTATTTTAATTTTCCTGTTTTACAGTGTAATGTAGACTAAAATATACTTTTTAAAATATTCATTTTCATTTATATAGTACATTTATAGGCTATGGATTTTACGTCATAGGAATAATTATATAAATCATTATTAGATTATTATAATTATTGTTTGGCATCCTAAAACACCATTGATAATGTAATGTAGACTGAGACTCTCATAACTAATAAGATGTTTGAGCCCTCTTTATTTTCCTGGTACAAATCAATGCTTTTTCTTTGTTCAATGAGCAGTTCATGGGTTGAAGCTCTTAATTTTGATCTCTCAAAGAGCACCAGATTGATGCATTTAACCTTAAAATGTACAAAATTTTCTTGCGGGGGAGCATGCCCCCGAACCCCCCTAGAGGCACAGAGGTCCACCCAACATAGCTTTACAAAATCATATGGGAAAGAACGACCATTTATGAACTTTACTCCAGCATAGTACAACAAAGTTCCTTTTAAGTCAGTAAAACTGTAAATGCCATATTAAAATGTCCTTGGGCAAAATATACATTTTTGGCCTGCCTAATGCCGAGTTCAGACTGCACTATTTTCAAAATAATCGGGTCACTGTTGTTTTCACACTGCATGACTATCTGGGGTAACATTCAGTTGCTGCTGTGTTCACACTGCACGATGGATCGGCGACTGGAGGTTTCACACTGCATGACTTTACAAAAGAAAGAATCGCCGACAACTTCTGCCTGGTCCGCAAACTACGTTTCACAACCAAACAAACGCGAGAAGTGATAGGAAATAACGGAAGATCACGCGTGCGTGAGACCGGAGTTCTCGCGCGACACTGAATTTGTTATTAAAAATGATAGACTACAAATTGTCTGTGCACTGATTTGTAGCGAAAATGAAAAGAAAAAAAAAAGTTTATGCAGGAAATGGTTGGGAAGACGAGGGGAGCAAGACTGTGTTTTGCAAAGAGAGTTGGGGGTAAATAAATAGTTTTGCAAATGTCCTGCTGTTGCTGCTGGTCATGCAAATGTTTGTGCTTTGTTTCTGTTTGATATAATTGTAAATATAGGCCTATCTATTAAAATACTGACATTCTGGTCTATAACTCCTCCTCCCTGTATCTTGCTCTCTCATTGGCTGTCGGTCATCGCCGATGTAGTTTTCAGTCAGAACACATTCACGCAGCAGGATTGTGAATCGCCGACAGGTCCAGATATTTAGCATGCCAAATATCTCACGGGCGTCGGCGACTCGTCGGCGATTCTCTCAGATCGCGTCTTTGCTCATTCACACTGCGTGATTGTCACTCGCGTGAACGAGCACCGATTTGCCTGTGATTTCGGGCATTTGTCGGCGATTTCTCAAAACCTGTCGGCGAGCCAAAATCGGGGCTAAAATCGTGCAGTCTGAACTCGGCATAAGGGGGGCCTACAAGACATTGTGCCCAGGGGCCTCTGAACTCTTAATCCGGCCCTGCATATATAACATGTAAAATAAAGCAAACCAAACACTTTATAATCACAGTTGACTTTGCTTACATGATGGAATATCATACATCTCACAAGTTATTTTGGAAAAAAATAAATTTATCCAGATTAAATGTTATTTGGGCTAAAAGTGGGTTACACATAGCCGGACTATATCGGGTCTATATTTAACCGAGACGTTGAAATGACGGCTATTGCTTGCTGGGTTCTCTCTCTCTCTCTCTCTCTCTCTCTCTCTCTCTCTCTCTCTCTCTCTCTCTCTCTCTCTCTCTCTCTCTCTCTCTCTCTCTCTCTCTCTCTCTCTCACGCTCTCTGCGCATAACGGTTTAAATGAACAACAACAATAAACAAATGTTGAGTGCTGATCAAGAGTTTTGTGCAAGCAATTTAAGGTCGCGACTCTTGTCCCAAATATAGCAGGCTTCATTCAGTGATTGAAACAAATATTATTAACATTAATTGAAGTTTTAAAGAACCGACATTGAACGCCCCGAGCGAGCTGTGCTGTGGTAAACATGGAACTTTTCCTTGACATGAAACGGTAAATAATCAAACCGCAGTGAAGCCTGCGATGGATGGAACTGCTGTATCTAACCTACCTTATTCATGCAATAAATAAGAATAAGAAATAAAAAACTTTCAGCTGTGCCAGTGCGACTCTTGTGAGCTGTCCCTGATCCCTCAGGCAGCGCCCACTCGCAAAGCAGACAGCCGCGCCTCTGATACCGCGGGCGTGTTTTTCCACATTCAAATATTAATTTTCACATTCGAAATTCTGTTTTTTAAAACTATTCGAATATATAGGCCTTTTCGAATTTAGAATATTCGTTGACAGCCCTATTCTCATTTGAATTATAAATAAGTTTGCTTTTAAACTGTGTGTGATTTTGGTTGGGTGACAGTTAAGTTTGACAAGAGTTTACAGTTTGACAAAACCACAATGTTGTGTTTTAACAATGTTGTGTCGAGTGTACACAAGTATAAATAAACACTTTGCAGTTTGAATGATGTCTTGTATGAACGACGGAGTATATTTTTTGTTTCCAGTGCCGCGCCTCACACACACACACACACAAATACACACACACACACACACAAATACACCATTCCAAGCTTGACATCGCAGCCTGTTCATTATAGCCGAAATAAAAATATGACAATAAAATAGTCAACCTAATATAAAAATCACACTGCTCTGTTTAAATAGTCAATTCGTAGGCTACCATTCAGCGTAAGCACCGCTCAACCGTGATGTTTCCAAGCACATTTTTGCGCATGTGAAAAGGATGATTTTTTTTTCCCTGTCGATATTGCAACGTGAGTGAAGTTGCTACAACGCCTATAATAAAGAATAGTTTACCATCAAAAACATCGCGAATGTTAAAATATTTTGATTCTAATGAGAGAGTTAGGCTACGTGAGCATAATGCCCCTTTTACTTTCCCTTTAAATTATTTCGTTTTGGCTTGTTTAGTTTTTTTTTATTATTATTCTTGTTCTGTTCTGTATATAATAAATATTACATTTAAAGAGTTTGTTGTGGAATATGTTTTGTGTATTTGTATTTTTTAAGCATTCAGCAAATGATAAGCTATTTATTGGTTAAAAGTCCTGTATGTAGGCCTATAGCTTGATCAAATTATTTCAGAATCGACTTTGCGTTGCAATCGCGTCAAGGATCAGCAAGTGCACGTGCATCATCAAAAGTAAAGTGGTTAAAAAAAGTGCTTAAAGAAAGGTTAAGAAAAAAATTCTGCGCACAAGCCTATGGGTCGCGTAAAAAAAAAAAAAAAAAAAAAAAAAAAGGGTCCCTCTTGAAAAAGTTTGAAAACCACTGGTTTAATTTGATACTTTTTGATTTCAGAATTTATTTTGTATTTTAGTTTTTTTTTTTGTCTCTAAAGTTTAGTTTTTTTCTGAATGTCTCTAAAGTTTGTATGAATTTTTTATTAGTTTAAGTTATTCTAGTACTTCAAGGAATACTAACTGGAAATAGGACATGTTGCCTTGCCCACTAGCTGAAATAAAATAAGTTATGCTTATTTTATATTTAGTTTTATTTCAGTAAAAGTTTTTTTTTTATCATATTTTAATTGAATTTTACAACACATTTAACAAAAGAACATAACATACACTTAAATACAAACATAACTTACTCAAATCCCTCCCCCTCCACAACAACCCTGGCAGTCGGTAAAAAAATTAATAATAAATCCTTAAACATTCAGTGCTTTAAATCACACACTCGTGTGCTTTTACACACATCTATAGCCTCTGCAATATCTCTTCCTCAAATCTCAAGAACATCTCACAAATTTTGTAACATTCAGAAGACTTCCCCTTGATCACATGTAAGCTCAAGGGCCAAACTGGATATCTAGTTATTCAGCCAAAGTCCAAGGGAAGGACAACTTGTATTCTTCCAGCAAAGAACGCCTGGTTTGTAGTAGGCACAACTCCACCAGTCTGTCTCTTTGACGAGCAGAGAGCAATTGTCCACATAGACACCCAATACACATATTGCCGGGCTTAAATTGAGATACTGAGCCACTTTCCTTATGAATGCGTGTTTTAATGAAGCCCTGTCGTGTCATGAGCTGTTAGTCGTGTGTGAGACACTGATTGTGTTCCTCAGTGTGTGCGGAGGCTTATAACCTTGATGAAGACGAAGACGAGGCCGGCGAGTCGAAGGTGGTTCACTATAAAACAGAGGCTCAGCGTCAGCGTCTGCAGGAGGCCTGCAGGGACATACTACTGTTCAAAACACTGGAGCAGGTGAATATCAGCCTTCACACACTGGACACGCGCGACACCAGCGCATGTGTGACGCCTGTCTGTCTGCCTGTCTGTCTGCCTGTCTCAGGATCAGTTCGCTGAGGTGTTAGACAGCATGTTTGAGGTGCTGGTCAAACCACACGACAGCATCATCAATCAGGGGGACGATGGCGATAACTTCTACGTCATCGAGAGGTGAGACAATCCTCTGCTGTCTCTCTGACACCTGTCTGTCTCTCTGTCTCTTTCTGAAACCCGTCTGTCTCTCTGCCACCCGTCTGTCTCTCTGACATCTGTGTGTCTCTCTGTCTCTTTCTGAAACCCGTCTGTCTCTCTGACACCTGTCTGTCTCTCTGACACCTGTCTGTCTCTCTGACACCCGTCTGTCTCTCTGACACCTGTCTGTCTCTCTGACACCTGTCTGTCTCTCTGACACCTGTCTGTCTCTCTGTCTCTTTCTGAAACCCGTCTGTCTCTCTGACACCTGTTTGTCTCTCTGACCCCCGTCTGTCTCTCTGCCACCCGTCTGTCTCTCTATCCTCTGAAACCCGTCTGTCTCTCTGACACCCGTCTGTCTCTCTGTCCTCTGAAACCCGTCTGTCTCTCTATCCTCTGAAACCCGTCTGTCTCTCTGTCCTCTGAAACCCGTCTGTCTCTCTGTCTCTTTCTGAAACCCATCTGTCTCTCTGCCACCCATCTGTCTCTCTGTCCTCTGAAACCTGTCTGTCTCTCTGACACCTGTTTGTCTCTCTGACCCCCGTCTGTCTCTCTGAAACCTGTCTGTCTCTCTGACACCCGTCTGTCTCTCTGACACCTGTTTGTCTCTCTGACCCCCGTCTGTCTCTCTGTCCTCTGAAACCCGTCTGTCTCTCTGTCTCTTTCTGAAACCCATCTGTCTCTCTGCCACCCATCTGTCTCTCTGTCCTCTGAAACCCGTCTGTCTCTCTGACACCTGTTTGTCTCTCTGACCCCCGTCTGTCTCTCTGAAACCTGTCTGTCTCTCTGACACCCATCTGTCTCTCTGACACCTGTCTGTCTCTCTGACACCTGTCTGTCTCTCTGACACCCGTCTGTCTCTCTGACACCTGTTTGTCTCACTGACCCCCGTCTGTCTCTCTGCCACCCGTCTGTCTCTCTATCCTCTGAAACCCGTCTGTCTCTCTGACACCTGTTTGTCTCTCTGCCACCCGTCTGTCTCTCTGTCCTCTGAAACCCGTCTGTCTCTCTGACACCTGTTTGTCTCTCTGCCACCCGTCTGTCTCTCTGTCCTCTGAAACCCGTCTGTCTCTCTGACACCTGTTTGTCTCTCTGCCACCCGTCTGTCTCTCTGTCTCTCTGAAACCTGTCTGTCTCTCGGACACCCGTCTGTCTCTCTGACACCTGTCTGTCTCTCTGACACCTGTTTGTCTCTCTGACCCCCGTCTGTCTCTCTGTCTCTCTGAAACCTGTCTGTCTCTCGGACACCCGTCTGTCTCTCTGACACCTGTCTGTCTCTCTGACACCTGTTTGTCTCTCTGACCCCCGTCTGTCTCTGACACCCGTCTGTCTCTCTGACACCCGTCTGTCTCTCTGACACCTGTCTGTCTCTCTGACACCCGTCTGTCTCTCTGACACCCGTCTGTCTCTCTGACACCTGTTTGTTTCTCTGACCCCCGTCTGTCTCTCTGTCTCTCTGAAACCTGTCTGTCTCTCTGACACCTGTCTGTCTCTTTCTGAAACCCGCCTGTCTCTCCGCCACCTGTCTGTTTCTATGTCTCTCTGACACCCGTCTGTGTCTCTGCCACCCGTCTGTCTCTCTGTCTTTCTGACACCCGTCTGTCTCTCTGAAACCTGTCTGTCTCTCTGAAACCTGTCTGTCTCTCTGACACCCGTCTGTCTCTGTCTCTCTGTCTCTCTGTCTGATTGTCACAAATGATTTGCTCTAACATGTCTAACAATTGATGGTTGCTCTGTCAAGTCTTTGTCATCGGTTAGGAACCTGGGTGTTCTCTTTGATAGCAATCTTTCATTTGAAAGCCACGTGTCTAGTATCTGTAAATCCCGCATTTTTTTCATCTTAAAAATACATCTAAATTACGTCATATGCTCTCAATTAAAAATGCAGAACAATTAGTTCATGCGTTCATGACCTCAAGGCTAGATTATTGTAATGCTCTACTGGGTGGTTGCCCTGCACGCTTAATTAACAAACTCCAGCTGGTCCAAAACGCAGCCGCTCGAGTTCTTACCAGAACCAGGAAGTATGACCATATTAGCCCGGTTCTGTCAACACTGCATTGGTTCCCTATTAAACATTGTATAAATTTTAAAATATTGTTGATTACTTACAAAGCACTAAATGGTTTAGCTCCCAGTACTTGAGCGAGCTCTTAACGCATTATAGTCCTTCACGTCTATTGCGATCTCAAAACTCCGGCCAGTTGATAATACCTAGAATATCTAAATCGACTGCTGGCGGTAGATCCTTTTCCTATTTAGCACCAAAACTTTGGATCAGTCTTCCTACCATTGTCCGGGAAGCAGACACACTCTGTCAGTTCAAAGCTAGACTAAAAACACATCTCTTTGACCTAGCATACACATAATACATAATAGACTTCTATAATTCAATGTTAGGCTGCATAGATTAGGTCAGCCGGAACCGGGAACACTTCCCATAGATACTGATGTACTCGTTACATCATAAGAAGAATGGCATCTACGCTAATATTAGTCTCTGTTTATCCCGAGGTTTACCACAGTCCGCCGGATCCAGGCCGTATCCAGATCTGATGAAGGACCTGCGCCTGGACACGGCGACACCGTAGTCCTGAAGTGTCACTAGTCTCTCCCTGTGAAGGCCTCCCTCTCTTTACCTCTGTACAGATTAAACATTGTCAGGATAATTCCGGTTCGCGTGTCTATACAGACGCAACAAAAAATTTGGTATTATACATTAAGACCAGACAAGTAGTTTGTTGAGGGTTGATTTGTGAAGAAGGACCACACGCCTGCATATTAAAACGGGCATACCTATGGACTGAACACGTGATGCGCATGTGCGGATAATCGTTTGCACCTTCGAACCTATTTCAGGGAGTGCGTTCACGAGACACCAGGCACTGTTGTGTGCGAATGAGCGGCCGGAGCGCATTAATAGTTTTTCTGTTAGAACGGTGTCGTGTTAGCGGCCCCTAAGGTAATAACTAATGATCTTCGCAACGGAAGTGAATCAATCAAAACTAACTTTAGCCATACTGAACTTGTGATCGATAAGACAACTCTTCATTTACTGCTACAAACTGATAACGGTCAGATAAGTGTGATTTAAACCATGCTAGTGCAACTCCACTAATGGCAACATAGTTTTTGAGTCTATTTAAAAGAATGTTGTGGTCAATAGTATCGAACGCAGCACTAAGATCGAGTAACACTAATAGAGAGATACAACCACGATCGGATGATAAGAGCAAATCATTTGTGACTCTAATGAGAGCGGTCTCAGTGCTATGGTACGGTCTGAATCCGGACTGGAAATCCTCGCAGATATCATTTCTTTCAGGAGTTCTGTAGGATCAAGTTGTGGTTTTTTAATAAGAGGTTTTATCATAGCCAGCTTAAAGGTTTTTGGTACGTATCCTAGTGACAAAGACGAATTAACGATAGTAAGAAGAGGATCTATGACCTCTGGGAGCATCTCTTTCAGTAGCTTAGTCGGTATAGGGTCTAACATACATGTTGTCGATTTAGATGATTTAACAAGTTTAGAAAATTCTTCCTCTCCTATAGCAGCCACCCGTCAGTCTCTCTGTCTCTCTGAAACCCGTCTGTCTCTCTGACACACACCCGTCTGTCTCTCTGACACACACCCCACACACCCGTCTATCTCTCTGACACACATCCGTCTGTCTCTCTGGTACACACCCGTCTGTCTCTCTGACACACACCCCATACACCCGTCTATCTCTCTGACACACATCCGTCTGTCTCTCTGGTACACACCCGTCTGTCTCTCTGACACACACCCCACACACCCGTCTATCTCTCTGACACACATCCGTCTGTCTCTCTGGTACACACCCGTCTGTCTCTCTGACACACACCCCATACACCCGTCTATCTCTCTGACACACACCCGTCTGTCTCTCTGACACACACCCCACACACCCGTCTATCTCTCTGACACACATCCGTCTGTCTCTCTGGTACACACCCGTCTATCTCTCTGACACACACCCCACACACCCGTCTATCTCTCTGACACACATCCGTCTGTCTCTCTGGTACACACCCGTCTGTCTCTCTGACACACACCCCATACACCCGTCTATCTCTCTGACACACACCCCACACACCCGTCTATCTCTCTGACACACACCCCACACACCCGTCTATCTCTCTGACACACACCCCATACACCCGTCTATCTCTCTGACACACACCCCACACACCCGTCTATCTCTCTGACACACATCCGTCTGTCTCTCTGGTACACACCCGTCTGTCTCTCTGACACACACCCCATACACCCGTCTATCTCTCTGACACACACCCCACACACCCGTCTATCTCTCTGACACACACCCCATACACCCGTCTATCTCTCTGACACACACCCCACACACCCGTCTATCTCTCTGACACACATCCGTCTGTCTCTCTGGTACACACCCGTCTGTCTCTCTGACACACACCCCATACACCCGTCTATCTCTCTGACACACACCCCATACACCCGTCTATCTCTCTGACACACACCCCACACACCCGTCTATCTCTCTGACACACATCCGTCTGTCTCTCTGGTACACACCCGTCTGTCTCTCTGACACCCGTATGTCTCTCTGACACACGCCCGTCTATCTCTCTGACACACACCCCACACACCCGTCTATCTCTCTGACACACACCCCATACACCCGTCTATCTCTCTGACACACACCCCATACACCCGTCTATCTCTCTGACACACACCCCACACACCCGTCTATCTCTCTGACACACACCCCATACACCCGTCTATCTCTCTGACACACATCCGTCTGTCTCTCTGACACCCGTATGTCTCTCTGACACACACCCCACACACCCGTCTATCTCTCTGACACACACCCCACACACCCGTCTATCTCTCTGACACACACCCCATACACCCGTCTATCTCTCTGGTACACACCCGTCTGTCTCTCTGACACCCGTATGTCTCTCTGACACACGCCCGTCTATCTCTCTGACACCCGTATGTCTCTCTGACACCCGTCTGTCTCTCTGACCCCCGTCTGTCTCTCTGGCACACACCCGTCTGTCTCTCTGACACCCATCTGTCTATCTCTCTGACACCCGTCTGTCTCTCTGACCCTCGTCTATCTCTCTGACACACGCCCGTCTGTCTCTCTGACCCCCGTCTGTCTCTCTGACACACGCCCATCTATCTCTCTGACACCCGTATGTCTCTCTGACACACGCCCGTCTATCTCTCTGACACACGCCCGTCTGTCTCTCTGACCCCCATCTGTCTCTCTGACACACGCCCATCTATCTCTCTGACACCCGTATGTCTCTCTGACACACGCCCATCTATCTCTCTGACACCCGTATGTCTCTCTGACACACGCTCGTCTATCTCTCTGACACCTGTATGTCTCTCTGACACCCGTCTGTCTCTCTGACACACGCTCGTCTATCTCTCTGACACCTGTATGTCTCTCTGACACCCGTATGTCTCTCTGACACACGCTCGTCTATCTCTCTGACACCTTGTATGTCTCTCTGACACCCGTCTGTCTCTCTGACCCCCGTCTGCCTCTCTGGCACACACCCGTCTGTCTCTCTGCAGGGGTGTGTTTGATATCCTGATCCAGAAGGACGGCGTCAGCTGCTGTGTGGGTCGCTATGATAATAAAGGCAGCTTCGGTGAACTCGCCCTCATGTACAACACGCCGCGGGCCGCCACCATCAGGGCCGCTCAGGAGGGGGCACTGTGGGCGCTGGTGAGGTCACTTCCTGCTCTGCAGCTTCAGCTTCCTGTGTTTCACTCTTCACACATTTCTCAACAATTTTTTCAAAACCCTTTCCCTGACATGTATCAGTCTCCTCTTTAGGCTGGAATCTTTTGATGATAGATTATATATGGGAAATATTTTAATGTGCCTTTCTGTAGGTTTTGATTGTTAAACTTTGTGTTAACCTAGTCACCAACATTATCATTTATAATTGGTATTATTTTTATTTTTATTATTGCTTTGCTACTGTAGTCCTGTTTATCTATCTATTTATTTATTTTTTTGAATATGTTTATACATGTATCTTTTATAATTTATGTGCTATTTTTGGTTTGCTTTGGAGGTGTTTGTGTATTTAATTTGAAACGAAACCTGTCACAATACTTTGAAGATTTTCTGTTAAGGTATTTCCCTCAGGAAGTCACATTGTATATTGTACATGCTAACACAGAATAAACATGTCAAAAAAAAAAAAAAACCCTTTCCCAACTTTCAGCTCGGCATAGCAAAAACACTGCATTCGTGTCTCGAATCCAGAACACTAGCAACGTTTGTTGCTCATAAAACAATCTAAAACACTAACAAAACTGAGTACAATTTCTAGACTGCTGTTGTGCTGAATGCAATAAACCAATCAGAGTCTCATCTCCCTTTAAAAGCCAGTGGAATCCGCCATGGCGGATTCGCTATTTACACGGCGGAATTTGCAAGCGAAAAAACTGAATGCTTCTTTAGCGAGGAACCGGACCTGCTCATGCGCTAGGTTAAAGTGCCCAAGCAGATCATCTACGGGACAAAGTGAACGTGCGTTGTGGACCCGCCTACAGGACGTGATAATGAAAACTGCGTCGGGCTGAAACTAGCAAAACACACAAGCGTTGGGTGTATGATAGGGCATTCGTGTCTCGAAATCAAACTCAAGCTTCCAGAATACTAGCAAAATTTGTCGCTCATAAAACAATAATCTAAAACGCTAACAAAACTGAGTATTGATGAATGAGTCCCAGTGATTGTGAAACACTGTGATTCTGTACCATCAGGACAGAGCCACGTTCCACAGACTCATCGTGAGGAATAATGCCAAGAAGAGGAAAATGTACGAGCACTTCATCGAGAGCGTGCCGCTGCTCAAGTCCCTGCAGGTGTGTCGAGTCGAGACCTTCACTGCGCTTGTGTCGTTCGCTTCATGACCCTTTCTCTCTGTCTCTCTCTCTCTCAGCTGTCCGAGCGCATGAAGATCGTCGACGTCCTGGGGATGAAGAGCTTCAGAGACGGAGAGCTGATCATACGGCAGGTGGATTACCTTTGATTCTCTACCAGATTATCTTTAATTATCTTTGATTTTCTCACAATTTATCTTTGATTTTCTCACAAATTATCTTTGATTTTCTCACAATTTATCTTAGATTTTCTACCAATTTATCTTTGATTTTCTCACAAATTACCTTTGATTTTCTACCTATTTATCTTTGATTTTCTCACAAATTATCTTTGATTTTCTCACAAATTACCTTTGATTTTCTACCAATTTATCTTTGATTTTCTCACAAATTATCTTTGATTTTCTCACAAATTATCTTTGATTTTCTCACAATTTATCTTTTATTTTCTCACAATTTATCTTTGATTTTCTCACAAATTATCTTTGATTTTCTCACAATTTATCTTTGATTTTTTCATAAATTATCTTTGATTTTCTACCAAATTATCTTTGATTTTCTCACAATTTATCTTTGATTTTCTCACAATTTATCTTTGATTTTCTCACAATTTATCTTTGATTTTCTCACAATTTATCTTTGATTTTCTCACAAATTATCTTTGATTTTCTCACAAATTATCTTTGATTTTCTCACAATTTATCTTTGATTTTCTCACAAATTACCTTTGATTTTCTCACAAATTACCTTTGATTTTCTCACAAATTATCTTTGATTTTCTCACAAATTATCTTTGATTTTCTCACAAATTATCTTTGATTTTCTCACAATTTATCTTTGATTTTCTCACAAATTACCTTTGATTTTCTCACAAATTACCTTTGATTTTCTACCAATTTATCATTTTTTTTCTCACAAATTATCTTTGATTTTCTCACAAATTACCTTTGATTTTCTACCAATTTATCTTTGATTTTCTCACAAATTATCTTAGATTTTCTCACAATTTATCTTTGATTTTCTCACAATTTATCTTTGATTTTCTCACAAATTATCTTTGATTTTCTCACAATTTATCTTTGATTTTCTCATAAATTATCTTTGATTTTCTACCAAATTATCTTTCATTTTCTCACAATTTGTCTTTGATTTTCTCACAATTTATCTTTGATTTTCTCACAAATTATCTTTGATTTTCTCACAAATTATCTTTGATTTTCTCACAAATTATCTTTGATTTTCTCATAAATTAACTTTGATTTTCTCACAATTTATCTTTGATTTTCTCACAAATTACCTTTGATTTTCTCACAAATTACCTTTGATTTTCTCACAAATTTTCTTTGATTTTCTCACAAATTTTCTTTGATTTTCTCACAAATTTTCTTTGATTTTCTAACAAATTACCTTTGATTTTCTCACAAACTACCTTTGATTTTCTCACAAATTATCTTTGATTTTCTCACAAATTATCTTTGATTCTCTACCAAATTTATCTTTGATTTTCTCACAAATTATCTTTGGTTTTCTCACAAATTACCTTTGATTTTCTCAATTTATCTTTGGTTTTCTCAAAATTTATCTTTGATTTTCTCACAATTTATCTTTGATTTTCTCACAAATCATCTTTGGTTTTCTCAAAAATTATCTTTGGTTTTGTCACAAATTACCTTTGAATTTCTCACAAATTATCTTTGATTTTCTCACAAATTTTCTTTGATTTTCTCACAAATTATATTTGGTTTTCTCACAAATTACCTTTGATTTTCTCAAAATTTATCTTTGGTTTTCTCAAAATTTATCTTTGATTTTCTCACAATTTATCTTTGATTTTCTCACAAATTATCTTAGATTTTCTCACAAATTATCTTTGATTTTCTCACAAATTATCTTTGATTTTCTTACAATTTATCTTTGATTTTCTCACAATTTATTTTTGATTTTCTCACAAATTACCTTTGATTTTCTCACAAATTATCTTTGATTTTCTCAAAAATTATCTTTGATTTTCTCACAAATTATCTTTGGTTTTCTCACAAATTACCTTTGGTTTTCTCAAAATTTTTCTTTGATTTTCTCACAATTTATCTTCGATTTTCTCACCAATTTTTTTTGATTTTCTCACAAATTACCTTTGATTTTCTCACAAATTATCTTTGATTTTCTCATAAATCATCACAAAGATGATTTTCTCACAAATCATCTTTGGTTTTCTCAAAAATTATCTTTGGTTTTCTCACAAATTACCTTTGAATTTCTCACAAATTATCTTTTATTTTCTCACAAATTTTCTTTGATTTTCTCACAAATTATCTTTGATTTTCTCATAAATCATCACAAAGATGATTTTCTCACAAATCATCTTAGGTTTTCTCAAAAATTATCTTTGGTTTTCTCACAAATTACCTTTGAATTTCTCACAAATTATCTTTTATTTTCTCACAAATTTTCTTTGATTTTCTCACAAATTATCTTTGGTTTTCTCACAAATTACCTTTGATTTTCTCACAATTTATCTTTGGTTTTCTCAAAATTTATCTTTGATTTTCTCACAATTTATCTTTGATTTTCTCACAAATTATCTTTGATTTTCTCACAAATTATCTTTGATTTTCTCACAATTTATCTTTGATTTTCTTACAAATTACCTTTGATTTTCTCACAAATTATCTTTGATTTTCTCACAAATTATCTTTGATTTTCTCACAAATTATCTTTGATTTTCTCACAAATTATCTTTGATTTTCTCACAAATTATCTTTGATTTTCTCACAAATTATCTTTGATTTTCTTACAATTTATCTTTGATTTTCTTACAAATTATCTTTGATTTTCTCACAATTTATCTTTGATTTTCTTACAAATTACCTTTGATTTTCTCACAAATTATCTTTGATTTTCTCACAAATTATCTTTGGTTTTCTCACAAATTATCTTTGATTTTCTCAAAATTTATCTTTGATTTTCTCACAAATTACGTTGGATTTTCTCACAAATTATCTTTGATTTTCTCACAAATTACTTTTGATTTTCTCACAAATTATCTTTGATTTTCTCACAAATTACCTTTGAATTTCTCACAAATTATCTTTGATTTTCTCACAATTTATCTTTGATTTTCTCACAAATTATCTTTGGTTTTCTCACAAATTTATCTTTGATTTTCTCACAAATTACTTTTGATTTTCTCACAAATTATCTTTGGTTTTCTCACAAATTACCTTTGATTTTCTCACAAATTATCTTTGACTTTCTCACAATTTATCTTTGATTTTCTCACAAATTATCTTTGATTTTCTACCAAATTATCTTTGATTTTCTCACAAATTATCTTTGATTTTCTCACAAATTATCTTTGATTTTCTACCAATTTATCTTTGATTTTCTCACAAATTATCTTTGATTTCCTCACAAATTATCTTTGATTCTCTACCAAATTTTCTTTGATTTTCTCACAAATTATCTTTGATTTTCTCACAAATTATCTTTGATTCTCTACCAAATTTTCTTTGATTTTCTCACAAATTGTCTTTGATTTTCTCGCAATTTATCTTTGATTTTCTCACAAATTATCTTTGATTCTCTACCAAATTTTCTTTGATTTTCTCACAAATTATCTTTGGGTTTCTCACAAATTACCTTTGATTTGCTCACAATTTATCTTTGGTTTTCTCACAAATTACCTTTGATTTTTTTCACAAATTACCTTTGATTATCTCACAGTTTATCTTTGGTTTTCTCACAAATTACCTTTGATTTTCTCACAAATTACCTTTGATTTTCTCACAATTTATCTTTGGTTTTCTCAAAAGTTATCTTTGATTTTTTTTCACAAATTACCTTTGATTATCTCACAGTTTATCTTTGGTTTTCTCACAAATTACCTTTGATTTTCTCACAAATTATCTTTGATTTTCTCACAATTTATCTTTGATTTTCTCACAAATTACCTTTGATTTTCTCACAAATTATCTTTGATTTTCTCACAATTTATCTTTGATTTTCTCACAAATGATCTTCTATTTTCTCACAATTTATCTTTGATTTTCTCACAAATTATCTTTGATTTTCTCACAAATTATCTTTGGGTTTCTCACAAATTACCTTTGATTTTCTCACAATTTATCTTTGTTTTTCTCAAAATGTATCTTTGATTTTTTCCACAAATTACCTTTGATCATCTCACAGTTTATCTTTGATTTTCTCACAAATTACCTTTGATTTTCTCACAAATTATCTTTGATTTTCTCACAAATTATCTTTGATTTTCTCACAAATTACCTTTGATTTTCTCACAAATTATCTTTGATTTTCTCACAATTTATCTTTGATTTTCTCACAAATTACCTTTGATTTTCTCACAAATTATCTTTGATTTTCTCACAATTTATCTTTGATTTTCTCACAAATGATCTTCTATTTTCTCACAATTTATCTTTGATTTTCTCACAAATTATCTTTGATTTTCTCACAAATTATCTTTGGGTTTCTCACAAATTACCTTTGATTTTCTCACAATTTATCTTTGTTTTTCTCAAAATGTATCTTTGATTTTTTCCACAAATTACCTTTGATCATCTCACAGTTTATCTTTGATTTTCTCACAAATTACCTTTGATTTTCTCACAAATTATCTTTGATTTTCTCACAAATTATCTTTGATTTTCTCACAATTTATCTTTGATTTTCTCACAAATTACCTTTGATTTTCTCACAATTTATCTTTGATTTTCTCACAAATTATCTTTGATTTTCTCACAAATTATCTTTGATTTTCTCACAAATTATCTTTGATTTTCTCACAAATTATCTTTGATTTTCTCACAAATTATCTTTGATTTTCTCACAAATGATCTTCTATTTTCTCACAATTTATCTTTGATTTTCTCACAAATTATCTTTGATTTTCTCACAAATTATCTTTGGGTTTCTCACAAATTACCTTTGATTTTCTCACAATTTATCTTTGTTTTTCTCAAAATGTATCTTTGATTTTTTCCACAAATTACCTTTGATCATCTCACAGTTTATCTTTGATTTTCTCACAAATTACCTTTGATTTTCTCACAAATTATCTTTGATTTTCTCACAAATTATCTTTGATTTTCTCACAATTTATCTTTGATTTTCTCACAAATTACCTTTGATTTTCTCACAATTTATCTTTGATTTTCTCACAAATTATCTTTGATTTTCTCACAAATTATCTTTGATTTTCTCACAAATTATCTTTGATTTTCTCACAAATTATCTTTGATTTTCTCACAAATTATCTTTGATTTTCTCACAATTTATCTTTGATTTTCTCACAATTTATCTTTGATTTTCTCACAAATTATCTTTGATTTTCTCACAATTTATCTTTGATTTTCTCACAAATTATCTTTGATTTTCTCACAATTTATCTTTGATTTTCTCACAAATTATCTTTGATTTTCTCACAAATTATCTTTGATTTTCTTTGATTTAATAATAAAACAATTTTTTACAATGATACAGCTCTATGAAATGTATGATTTTTTCAGAAGTTCTCTGTTGTGCTGAGGGTTATCATAGTTTTCTGAAACTGAAACTAAAACCTTAAAATATAAAATAAAATAAAAACATTTTATTCAAGGTACATTCTACTGTACAATAGTAATAAATGTCTGTCACAATTTCTTCAGGTTATTAAACAATTTCTTCAGAATATTAAACGTTCTTTAATATTCACACACACTAGTCCATATCGCAATCTGATTATTCAAACTCTGTGCCATTCTGTGCGTTCTACAGTAAATTGGATGTTTATGACAGTTTTGTTCACTGTAGTTTTGAGATGAGCATGGTATTCTGTGGTTAAATGATCAGGTTTTCTGTGGTTAATTAATAAGGTGTTCTGTGGTTCCTCAGGGAGATTCGGCCGACTGCTTCTACATCGTGGAGTCTGGAGAAGTCAGGATTATGATCAGGAGCAGAGTAAGAACCTCACACACACACGGACACTCGTCCTCGGCCCGATTGGCACTCACACACTCCTGTCTCCGCAGACTAGCGCAGGTCAGAGGTCAGAGCAGGAGCTGGAGGTGGCGCGCTGCACGCGGGGACAGTACTTCGGCGAGCTGGCGCTGGTCACCAATAAACCGCGAGCGGCGTCAGTGTACGCGGCAGGAGAGACCAGGTGTTTAGGTAAGAACACCATTCAGCTTTTCAAACGCTGGTTTCATACAGAGATAGTTCGGGTTTGATACGCTCTGAAGGTCTGATGTCCTCGACACACATAATGATTTATTCAGAATTATGAGGTATATTAAATAGGGGTGTAACGATTCCCTCGTGTCACGATTCGACACATATCACGATTCTGAACTCACAATACGATATTATTGCGATACTCCAAGACATATGATCACTGCACAAGACGATAGTACAAAAGCAGAATGACGAAAAAAGGAACAACACAATTACTCATGGATGATAATATGGTAGATCCCACAGTTTTCAGAAATGAACAAAATCAGAGTACAGAAGGAGCCGAGCCATTTACGATTTTATAAACCATACACAAATTTGAAAAAAAGTCTAAAATTGTCAAAATTCAAATAAATTATGTTTTTCTAAGATCCTACAATGATGAAAATGGTTTGGTTTTTTATCTAAAATGTTTAAAGTCTGTTTATACATGTGAGAAAGGATTGTAGCATGCATATAAGTCTTAGCTACATCAACAGAGAGACATTGTCTAATTTGTCTAAAATTTGCCAAGTTATATTTAATAATCCTCAAAATTTAGGTCCAATATTACTGCAAGATAATTAAACTCATTAACTATTTACTATCACTAACTGAGGCCTCGTCCACACTACTGCGTTTTCGTTTAAAAACGGAGACCTCTTGCTACGTTTGCACCTCCCATCCACACTAAAACGGCAAAAACGGAGACCCAAAACGGAGAAGTTTAGAAACGCCGCCGATCCGTTTTTCGTTTTGAATCTCCGGAGGGCGTTTCAGTGTAGACGGGTCAAGACGGAGGACTTTAGAAACGATGACGTAGTAGAGGCTCACGCTCGGCTCTGTGATTGGGTGTCATCAGTCATGGCGTATATCTTTGCTAGCCGCTGTTGTACAAGTAAATTCTGCATTTTACAGCGCTATAACTGCCTACATGCGCCGGAGTCAAGCTATTATTCCAGCGATCTGTGACAATTCCCGTGTGCAGCGGCGGCGTTGACCGTACATGGAGCGTCGGTTTGGGGTTAACCCAGAGCATGGTGGGATAATTTTATCAATGAAGTTGTGTTTACACCGGCACGCGCATGCCCAGTGTTGGTGAATGGTCACGTGATCCGCGTTTTCAGTCGTTTTAATGTGGACGGAGATCAATTCTAATACGCAGCTAAAACGGTGGTGTGGACGGAGATCGTATTCGTTTTAATTATCCGTTTCTAAACTAAAATGTAGTAGTGTGGATGGGGCCTAACTCTGCTGTTCTTGCATGTGTGAAAATAACAGTATCATCAGCATTTGTGCTTGTATCCCTTCACACTGTTGCGGGAGATCATTAATATACAGACGAAATAATAAGGGACCTAACACTGACCCTTGGGCTACCCCTGTTATTTAACGTAAATTACAGGACTTAACCCCTTTCATTTTTACACATTGTTCTCTATTTAATAAATATGAGGATACCCAAGCTAAAGCTTCAGATGAAAACTGAAACGTAGACAGTTTAGAAAGGAGAATGGCATGATTAACTGTATCAAAGGCTTTATGCAAATCTATAAATATAGCGCCGACTAATCCTCTTCAGATTTTATTTGCTCTATTAAGAGTAAAGTAGCTGTTTCAGTAGAATGGTTTACTCTGAAAGCAAACCCATACAAGGTAAGCCAGACCGTGTTAAGATGGGTATATTAGTTGCTCAAACAATCTTCTTTTCAGTTGTGTAGAATTACTAACATTTATAATGATCTGAAGATTTAAAAATAGGAGTAACAATGGTTTGTTTTTACGCAGTAGGAAAAACACTATATTCAAATGACAAGGGAATTAAATGAGTAATGACAGGGGTTAATATATCTTTGTCTACATTTAGAGTTTTTTAATGAGCTAATAACTTTGCATTTCTTTTGTCTTGGTTAGATTAAAACCTTTACCCACATTATCAGTCGGACTAATATTTATTTCCCTTCTTGCTAGTTTTCCCCCTAATTATTTAACTGAGTTAATAAAAAAACTGTTAAAAGTAGCAATGGCATAATCATCTTCAGTTTGCTTTCCCTGAACTTTAAACTTAAGATCTACTATAGAATTTGGGTCCTCCTGTAAAAGAGAATTTATGTTTTTCCAAATTAGCCTCGTTCATTAGATGCAGATAATAACTGGATCTGGCTACTCTCAGCTCTTGAATAACTCAGTTTCGCAGACCTTTATAACAGAGCCCATCAGTGCCTCTTCCAGACTCGAGAGCTCCTCTTAACTCCTGAATCCCTATTTTTTCAATACATTCTTATTGAACCACGCTAAATTACTTTATGCTCATCTTTTCTCTTACAGAATTGATTCTATTAAAAAAATTATTACAACCATAATCTATATCCTTAGAATATAATATATCATTCCACTTTAGATCAGCTATTTCCTCATCAAATGCTATAACTTTCCTTTAGGTACACAATGAAAAACATTGGTAGAAGTTACTAGATTCTTTTTAAATCTGTTTTTCGTTAATTTCCGTGCAACTTTCAGAGATACAGAAGAAGTTCAGCTGTTCAATAAATAACCAGTCTAACCATCAGAAAACTCTTTATGTTTCTAACGCAATATTTTATTTTATTTTGGTCAATTTCACACCAGATTAAAAAGCGTCTGTCGGCTGAATACCTTGATTTACTACACATTAATGTTAATGTGTTTAAAGAAACAATGTTCTAGTTTGTTTAGATATAAAAATAGTTTACCCTTATATTATACTGTTGCTTCTGTTGTCACTTTTACAGTAGTTTTGTTTGTTTTTAGTTGATTGTTGTTGTTTTCTATTCTGCATTTTGAACACGCGCTGATGATCCGTCCTGCTTATTAAACCATTGGTAGAAGGTTTTAGTACTTCAGTAGTTTATTAGTTTGTAGTTTGTTCACTCAAGTTAAATCATTCTACAGTAATACCGTAAACTTACAATGAGCAATACCTTTTTACATTTTTTTTTTTTTTTATGTTAGTTAAAACAAATGTTCATGTTCACACCGCATTAGTTAACAGATACAACTTTTGATTTTAATAATGTATTTGTAAATGTTGAAATTGACCAAGAATAATAAATGCGGTAGAAGTATTGTTTACTGTAAGTTCATGTTAACAAATGAAAGCTAATAGTAAAGCTTATAGTAAAGGGTTGCCATGAAATAAGTGCAACTGTGACCCTGAGAAGTTCATTAAACACAAACAAAATAAAGAAACCAGCATTTTTCTAAGTTCAAGCCGTTCATGAACTGGTTTCAGTCTTATGTCCAGATTTGTGTCCGAATACAACCGTGGATTCATATTCATATTTATAGTAAAATATAATGAAAGCATTGAAGACAAATCATGCTAATGTGACGTCAAATAAACAAACAACATTATAAAACAGAATAACATCCGTTAGTGCAAAATCCTCATAATGCCAATATGACCAAACACTTCATTACATTATTAATGTGCAAGGGATTATGGGTATTTCCTCAGTGGACAGATGAAATGGTATGAAGTTCAGCTGATCTTCTGTTACAAAATACATCAACAAATAAAGTCAATATAGGAATTACATGACGGTATTCCTTCAATATTTATATCTCGTATATGTGTGTGTGTCAGTGATCGACGTGCAGGCGTTCGAGCGTCTTCTGGGCTCCTGTAAGCAGATCCTGAAGAGGAACATCTGGCAGTACGAGCAGCAGCTGGAGGCCGTCTTCGGGTCCCGAGTCGACAACACACACTGAACACACACTCAACACACACACATTAACAGCTGGGGTGTATTCCAGAAAGCAGGTTATGTGACATACCCGGGTATGTTTAAGAGTAAGTAAGCGGATAACCTCAACTTTCGGTTCCAAAAACGGAGGTAACTTTCAGGGTATGTTAGTAGTCATAGCAACTCCCTCTCTGAACTTAACCTGCTCCGGAGCAGCTTATGTTCCAGGGTTAGTTTGTTTCAGAGAGGTGACAGAGCATGGCGTCCCCTGACCATTTTAGTTACATATAGCACTACTTAATCTAACCCTACTTTATACAGTCACAATAATTTTAAATGTTTCTAATTATAGAACTTTCAATTTCAGGGTTCCCAAATGTGATTGGGTGCATTGATGGAAGCCACATTCACATTAAAGCTCCTTCCATCAATGAAGGAGACTATGTAAATAGGAAGTCAATGCATAGCATCAATGTGCAGGTGACAATAGATTTTTTGGATGCTAAATGTTTGGGTGTTTAAACCATTAAATCACCCTCATCACTGGTCCCCACTAACTAGGTAATATGTGGCCAAGAGGAACCCCCAGTGAACCCAGTAGACCAAAGAGATGGCAGGGTGGTACAAGACATGATTTGCCAAAATCACTTTAATTAAAACCAGTTAACAGTCAAGTGTTGTTCATTGTTTCTTTATTTCCTGTAACAAAAGACATTTGTATTTATTGCTTTAGATTTCATTCAACAACAAATGACAGATTAATGTTCACATACTGTTTCCCACCTTAAGCTAGTGCTCCAGCAATTCAATTTCAAGTCTGGCCTTTTTTAGGTTAAGCCTTTTCTCCTCCATTTGAAGCTGTATAAGGTCCATCTCCATGTCACTTTTTCTGATTTGCTTTTAAAGGTGGACCTTATACAGCTTTTTGGCAGGCAAATAGAAAGACTGAAAAAGTCTGTAATACAAACCAAATATTTAAATGAGGAAGGAGAACTGCAGAACATTTCTTACACTGCTAAGATTCTGTGTGGAGGTAGATGGACCCTCATCTGTATTAAAATCTCCTGCCATATTCTGTAAAATGACAATGACAATTTATTTATTCTCTTGTGTAAAAAAGGGGGAATGCATTCTATGCATCATACCTCTATGGGCCTCCCCACATTTTCTGTTTCTGTCACAGCAGAAGTGGTCTCTTCATCATCATCCTACAGTGAAAATAAGGAAGGATGCAGGTCTAGCAAACAGAAACCTAAAGACAATAATCACTTACAACTGTGACAGAGTGTGGTGTTGCAGGAGGATCCAATAATACAATGTGGCCATCAGCAACTGCAAGATAATTAAACCATGATAATCATGCATATTCAATTCTCAATGTATATTCTTAAGCAAATACAACTAATAAAGAAGGACATTAGGAGCATCTAAGTACTAGTAATACGATTACAGTATACAGCATATGCAGTCAAAGCAACATGCACACTGCACAAGTGAATCAATGACTGTAAAATGAATTCAAAATGCCTTTTTAAAATGGTGACAGTGTTGATGATTTTATTTATTAAAACACTGACAAAAACAGTGTAAACATCAATAAATCATAAGTATTAATATGGTACACCTACATTTCACTAAGCCACTTGTCTTGGTAGCGGAGTCTGACGAACTGCCCCCTGGAATCCCATCGACCACAGGTGGCCCTTTATTAAGGGACAGTGCCAGCTCCTCAGCTCCCTTCTTTCTATTGGCTACATAGAAAACTAAATTACATTTAATACTAAATTAGTATTAAATGTCAGTAACAAGTTTAGTAAGTTTAGAAAATATTACCTTGCAGGAGAATGTTTTTGTGTTTCATTTTGACTTGGCTCACACTTCTTCTGGCTCCAGAAGGATTACACCTGACAAAACTAGAAGCCAACATATAACTAGCCAATTATGTGCATTACTACTGTAATATTAAGAAATGTATGGAGGCCAACAAGTAAATACTTGTCTATTTTTACTACATGCCCCCAAAGAATTTTTGCGTCACAAATTATAAATGGGGTAGGCTATTTTCCCCTTTCATTGTGACTCACAAAGGGAAAATACCCCATTTATAATTTTCTAAACTCAAGCATTTACTCTGTCCATTATTATTTGCCAAGCCAACTTTCTTTTGCTGATGCAGCAGTATTGCTTTTTTATTTATTATTATTTTTATAATGGGCTTAGGCTATAGTCTTCATAAGCAAGCATTAAAACCTCCAACTCAGTTTCACCGAAGTATCGTATGTAGCTCGCTTTTTTTCTCCCTTGGTTTCCATGGTGACTCCTGAAATCGGCGATCCATTGAAAATGTCTTTATGTACTCGTCGTGCGCGCGCATTAACTCTGGGTTACCAATAGGAGGTTGATTAAACTAACTCAACATAGGTGTTTTGGAACCGACATACCCAGAGTAAGCAAGTTTGGAGTTAACCAACCAAGAGTTTAAGGTTTATCAGACGGTAAGTTAACCTTGCTTTCTGGAATACACCCCTGGAGGCCGTCTCCAACACACACTCCCGAGTCGGCAACACACACTGAACACACACTCAACACACACTCAACACATACACAACATTAACAGCTGGAGGCCGTCTTCGGGTCCCGAGTCGACAACACACACTGAACACACACTCAACACACACTGAACACACACTGAACACACACAACATTAACAGTTGGAGGCCGTCTTCGGGTCCCGAGTCGACAACACACACTGAACACACACTCAACACACACTGAACACACACTGAACACACACTCAACACACACTGAACACACACAACATTAACAGCTGGAGGCCGTCTTCGGGTCCCGAGTCGACAACACACACTGAACACACACTGAACACACACTCAACACACACTCAACACACACTCAACACACACAACATTAACAGCTGGAGGCCGTCTTCGGGTCCCGAGTCGACAACACACACTGAACACACACTCAACACACACTGAACACACACTGAACACACACTGAACACACACTGAACACACACTCAACACACACTGAACACACACTGAACACACACTCAACACACACTCAACACACACTCAACACACACAACATTAACAGCTGGAGGCCGTCTTCGGGTCCCGAGTCGACAACACACACTGAACACACACTGAACACACACTGAACACACACTGAACACACACTGAACACACACTCAACACACACTGAACACACACTGAACACACACTCAACACACACTCAACACACACTGAACACACACTGAACACACACTCAACACACACTCAACACACACTCAACACACACTCAACACACACTCAACACACACTCACACTCAACACACACTCAACACACACAACATTAACAGCTGGAGGCCGTCTTCGGGTCCCGAGTCGACAACACACACTGAACACACACTCAACACACACAACATTAACAGCTGGAGGCCGTCTTCGGGTCCCGAGTCGACAACACACACTGAACACACACTGAACACACACTGAACACACACTGAACACACACTCAACACACACTCAACACACACTCAACACACACTCAACACACACTCAACACACACTCACACTCAACACACACTCAACACACACAACATTAACAGCTGGAGGCCGTCTTCGGGTCCCGAGTCGACAACACACACTGAACACACACTCAACACACACTGAACACACACTGAACACACACTCAACACACACTCAACACACACTCAACACACACTCAACACACACTCAACACACACACACAACATTAACAGCTGGAGGCCGTCTTCGGGTCCCGAGTCTACAACACACACTGAACACACACTGAACACACACTCAACACACACTGAACACACACTCAACACACACTCAACACACACTGAACACACACTCAACACACACTCAACACACACTCAACACACACTCAACACACACTGAACACACACTCAACACACACTGAACACACACTCAACACACACTCAACACACACTGAACACACACTGAACACACACAACATTAACAGTTGGAGGCCGTCTTCGGGTCCCGAGTCGACAACACACACTGAACACACACTCAACACACATTGAACACACACTGAACACACACTCAACACACACTGAACACACACAACATTAACAGCTGGAGGCCGTCTTCGGGTCCCGAGTCGACAACACACACTGAACACACACTCAACACACACTGAACACACACTGAACACACACTCAACACACACTGAACACACACAACATTAACAGCTGGAGGCCGTCTTCGGGTCCCGAGTCGACAACACACACTGAACACACACTCAACACACACTCAACACACACTCAACACACAACACACTCAACACACACTCAACACACACTCAACACACACTCAACACACACTCAACACACACAACATTAACAGCTGGAGGCCGTCTTCGGGTCCCGAGTCGACAACACACACTGAACACACTGAACACACACTGAACACACACTCAACACACACACAACATTAACAGCTGGAGGCCGTCTTCGGGTCCCGAGTCTACAACACACACTGAACACACACTGAACACACACTCAACACACACTGAACACACACTCAACACACACTCAACACACACTCAACACACACTGAACACACACTGAACACACACTCAACACACACTCAACACACACTCAACACACACTCAACACACACTCAACACACACTCAACACACACTCAACACACACTGAACACACACTGAACACACACTGAACACACACTGAACACACTCAACACACACTGAACACACTGAACACACACTGAACACACACACACAACATTAACAGCTGGAGGCCGTCTTCGGGTCCCGAGTCGACAACACACACTGAACACACACTGAACACACACTCAACACACACTGAACACACACTCAACACACACTGAACACACACTCAACACACACTCAACACACACTCAACATTAACAGTTGGAGGCCGTCTTCGGGTCCCGAGTCGACAACACACACTGAACACACACTCAACACACATTGAACACACACTGAAC